TGAATATAAGTATGATTTTTAATATTTTTTAATTTAAAAATATTTTATTCAATTCAAAATTATGTTTCAAATAATTTATTTTTTGAAATTAAAGTTTAATTTGAATTATTTTGGCTTTGATTTTGAGAAATATGAGTCAAAGTATTTTTAGTGACTCAAATTTGGGGGTGCTCTTCACCGCTTGACATTGATTGACATCATAATCCCTAATTAATATTTTTTTTATTAATTTTCATAATTAAAAAATCTAAAAAGTAATCTATCAATTGAAAATCATAAATGTAACTAGTTAATTTTTTATATTCCTTATGTTTGACTTGGGAAACCCCTATAAAATTAAATATTCTTAAGTTGGCTTATTTTTCAGCATTTATAAAATTTAAATTTGATGAATTTTCTTGACAATGACAAAAATTATTCAAACATCATCTCCTATAGTGAGAACATCACATCATTGTGTAAGAAATTATTTTAGTTAGATAGTTTATATTATGAGACATCAAAGTTATTTTCAGTAATACCATAAAGTATATACGAATCATTTGTTAGGCTTTATGCACAACACCAATTATACTACATGTGTCCAAGTTGACAACTTGAGTTACATATTTACTTATGACAAGGTCAAGCCTAATCACAATATTTCCTTTTTAGAGAGAATATGTGGGTCGCCTCATTGTTGAGCATTATCACTATGAAATATTTTATTGACGATAGTATCTAAGAAGATAAGTTTTTTATCATCTATGTTTTGACCTCATGTTGTTTCAATATGCTCAACAATGAAAAGAGATTTAGCATTGAATTGCCTTTTTCATGTAATGTTTCATGGATTTTATGACACAACATTTGATGAGTAGTCTTTTGTTTGTGCAACAAAGGATTTTCATACAATAGGATTCTATATGTAAAGAACAAGCGTACTTGAGAGGGTTGAATTTCTAGGACATTGACAATTACCTCAGGTCCTCTTTTGTCATTGTCCATGTGATACTCATAATTATTGACTCAATAGTTTTAATCACCTTTTTCATCTCTATTACAAGGACCTTTATGGTTGTCATGCATGTTCTACTTGATGTCATCTCAACATTTGGGCTTACATTGGGCTCAATTATATTATTGACTTTCTAACCTAGTAAGATAGTTGTCCTCTATTATGATCAATTACACATCTCTAATTACTTGAAACATACTATAATTATACATGTCATTATCATGTATTTTTGGCATCTAAGAATAGTGAAATAAAATGTTCATTTAATATAATATTTGATAAAACATATTGATGTAATTGGTAAAGTGCCTTGCACATTATCAATGTAGTGTTCCTTGGAAGGAATTATTTATTTAGCTTATTCATGAGCACATCTCACATATCAATAAAGGATAAAGATAAATCTTTTGTGTCTGCCATCACAACTTTATGTTATTATAAGAGTACATATTTATTAATATTACCTTCTTTGGTGTGTATTGTATGAATTATATCAATCAACATGACACAAAACAATACTTATCTCTTGGTCATTTCATGTGTTAGAGAAGGTTTATATGTCAATCAACATGACACAAGTACCTAAGATTTTTTTTGACCTTTATCTTTCATAATCTATTTTAGGTTAATTCAGAGTCAACCAAAGTCTACCTAGAGGATTTGTCTAATATCTCATTATGTCAAAGTCTGTTTTAGGTTTTTTCAGAGTTAATTAGAATTTCTCCTTATGATTTGTTAAGGATCCTTTTTTTGAAAACATCTCATCTTTTTTCTAGGCCTATATAAATACTCTCATTATAACTTGAGGATGACACTTTTTTTTAGTTGAATCAATTTTTTCTATTGTAATAATAATTTCCTTTTGCTTGTGGATTTAGGGTTGATTTTTTCTCCAAGATTTAAACTTTGTGGATTCAAGCCTAAATCTTGTTTATCTTTCGTGTTATTGTTGTTTCAATTGATATTAGAGTTAGTAAATGTACCAAATCAAAGTTCAAAGATGTTATGAGATAAATCTGCTCATATTAGTAATGATGATTCTTCTGAAGTATGTGTTTTCTCAAAATCAAAATTCATTATATTTCAAGACCAAATAGATTAAAATGTGATGATATTAATGATATATTGAAATAACATTTGGCAATAATAAGTACATTATAAAGTCATTCACATCTTTAGAAAGTCAATCATGTTGAATCTTCATTAGATATTTGTTATACTTTTGGTTATACAAGTTCTAAATCAATATTTGAAGAAGATATTTCTCTAGATTTTCATATGAAGATTGACTTATAATATTTTAATAAATATTTTAAGATTGAAGGGTTTTTAAATTAATAATTGAAGTATAATAATTTTTTGAGTATATAAAAATTCTGATAAAAAACAAGTAAAACTATTAACTAATAAATTGAAGGATGGAGCTCATGCCTAGTAAAATCAATGATAAACCAGACATATGAGGTCATGTAAAGAACTTGTACGATTATGGAAGAAAATAAAGAAACTCTTGAAATCTCATTTTCTTCCCCATATTATAAGCATATTTTATATTATAGTATCAAAACTATAGATAGAGAAATAAATATGTTTCTGATTATGTTGAAGAACTTTATTATTTATCTTCTCGAATTAACTTAATAGAATTTGTGTCATATATGATTTTCAAGATTTGAAGATAGTTTCAAATGATAAATTGAAAATAAAGTAGTTTTACAATTATTTTTCAAACTTAATGATATTGTAATGGATGCATAAGAATGAAAAAATAAAGTTCAAAATTTTAAAAGTCAGAACTCAACTCTTCAAGCAAATAAAAAGAAATCAATTATTATCTTTTCTATGGATGACTAAATCAAATTTCAGTTAGATTGAGTAGGGAAATCTTTATGCCCAAGTCTCTACTAAAAAAAAAAAAACTCATAATATCATCCTTAAATGCTACAAGTGTGGAGAACAATAGACACAAATCAAATATCTATATAAAAATGTGGCACAATAAACCTTATAGATTTTATCGAAGATGAAGTAGAACATGAAGAAGTAGAAATTGAAGGTGAGATAAAAGAAAATTTTGTTGAATTTGATATTAGAGATGTACTATCATACTTGTAGTAAAAAGATTAAATGCACTAAAAAAAGAAGATTTACAATGTCAAAATATATTCAAAATAATGTGCATTATGAATTCTAAGATATGTGATGTGATTATTGATACTGGTAGTAGTGAGAACATTGTCTCTTCAATTATGATTCAAAACTTAAGCTTACAAAAAAACTCACACCCTCATCTATACCACATTTTTTGGATCAAGAAGTTAACAAAAACTAGAGAATATGAGACTTGTTTAGTTAAATTTTCTATTGGTATGACTTATTTTGATATAGCGAAATATGATGCCATCGAGATAAATGCTTATCCTATGATATTAGGTAGATAATGACAATTTAATCTTAATACCACACACCTTAATAAATAAAATATCTACTAATATTCCTTCCACACAAGACGTACAACATCATATTGATTTTATACTTAGAGCTACCTTGTCTAACCTTCCACACTATAGGATGACCTCAAAAGAAAATCAAATTATTTAAGAACAAGTTGAAGAATTATTGAATAAAAGATTGATAAAAGAAAGTATGAACTCATGCTCCATGATTATTTTATTTGTTCCAAAGAAAAATGCAAGTGGACGAATATGTGTCGACAACAAAACTATCAACAAGATAACAATTAACTCAATTACATGCCTAGATGACATATTAGATATTCTTTGTGGCTCTAATTTTTTTTCTGAAGTTGATGTAAAGAATAGATATCATCATATCTAAATTTTACTATTAGATAAGTAGAAGATTATTTTTAAAACTATAGTAGGTCTTTATAAATGATTAGTCATGCCTTTTGAACTATCTAATGCCCTAGTATATTTATGAGAGTAATGAATCAAGTTCTAAACTTTTCATTAGTAAATTTGTTATTATTTACTTTAATAACACTTTTATGTACATTACTACAAAAGAAGAACACATTAAACATCTCATAGTATTTTTTAAAGTGTCACAATATAATGAATTATATATTAACCTCAATAAATATTATTCAATAACTATTAGTTTGTTATTTTTAATATATTTGTATCTTTTCTTCTAGAAAAAGTTTTAACACTATTTAGAGTTTGTACCTAAGATATGTTCAGAATCTATGTATGTTAAAGTCTGTTTAAAGTTAGTTAGAGTCAATCAAAGTCTACTTAGAAGATTTGTCGAAGATCTCAATATAAGAAAGTCTATTTAAAGTCTATTTCGGATTTTGTATCGGAATTAAGCATATGGATTCAGCTGTTTAATTTGGACCATTAACTAATATGAATAAGTATTTAATTGAAAGAGCTAATTATCTTTTGTGTTCTTGAATGCGGGGTAAAATTTCAATATCAATATAGATTATGATTTATATGATTTAGGTTTATGATTTAAATGATGGAATCTTTTCGTTCACTATAATAGAAAAAAAAAGAAGTGTTTCTTCTCATATTGTGTACAAATTATCATTAAAAGTATAAATACTAGTTTGCTGAATTCATTCTCGTATACCATTCCATAGGAACCCGAAACAAAAAATTCAATATACAAGATCAGTGGAAGGCACCCTTTCCTAGCTTGAGCTATGGTATGCAACTCTCATATATTAAGTAATCCACCAATCCCAAGGACCCATAGGATTTATTATGTATCCAACATAAGAAAAATAAGTAATTTAACCTTAACTTAGATCTTATCTTGTATTTATATCGTGTATGTATGAATTGTAAGTAAAGTCCTTGTCCTTGTAAATTTTGTATATATTAATACATAAAAATACAAAAAAGATATATGCAAATACAAAATACATATGGATCCTCATTTTTTTCAGCTCAATCCTTTTTTAGTAAAAGATTGAGCCAAGTTTAATTTTAATTAGGAGAACAAACAGGAATTATTGAATTATGCAAGCTTAGCCTTTAACATCTAGTTTATCTACTGATTTGAACTCAAATTTGATCTCTTTCCAAACTTCACAAGCAGCGACTAGTTCAGGACTCCATTTGCAAGCTTCACAAATAATTTCATTACCTTCACGAGCAAGATCACATCCCTCATTATGAGCTTGTACACACGCTTTTAAAGTTACACAATTAGCTACTGCACTAGGTGCATTTCCTCAAGGGTGTTCTAAAGTTTTGCCACCAAATTGTAGTACGGAATCATCTCTAAAGATCTCAGTCAAGGTAGACATATGCCAAACATGAATACCCCTAAAGCCACAGGTAGAACACCTGGTATAGAGACCCAATCTTGAGTTAGGAAAATACCACGACTTTGGTCTTTTTCAATATAATCATCACGTAATAAATCAACGAAACCTAAAGTCATCTCACATTGACCTTCCAGTTTACCTGTACCAGAGTGAATATGATCCCCACTAGACATACATAATGCTTTAGCTAGTACATGGAAATGCATACCATGATTTTTCTGTCTATCAATAATTGCATGTATTGTGTGGTGGATGTGAAGAAGTAGGCCGTTGTCTTGGCAATAAATTACTAAACTAGCATTTACAATGAATCCCTTAGTCATATAGTCATGCATTACAATAGGGACTCCTAATTCTTTGGCAAACACAACCCTTTTGATCATTTCTTCACAAATACCTACAATAGCATTTAAGTAATGCCCTTTAATTTCACCTATTTTGGCTTGTGATTTATAAATTGCTTCAGCACAAAATAAGAAATAGTTTCCCCAATGCATAAATGGTTGTGAGTTCATATTTTGATCATCCTTGGTAAAATTAAGTCCACCACGTAGACATTCATAAACCACATTCTCTACGATTTGTTCAAGATCCTTCTTTTAGAAGTGCCTCAAACATTGTGACCTAAGGATGACACTTTTTTTGTGTTAAATTATTTTTTTTATTATGAGAACTATCCTCCTTTCTTTGTGAATTCAAACATCCCTTTCTGGATTCAAAAGTTGAAGACTTTAAATCTATGAATTCATATGTTTATTTCTTCTCCAAAATTTAAGCTTTGTGAATTCAACCTAGGTCTTGTTCATCTTTCACATTACTATTCCATGAGAAGACCTTAACAAAACCTTTGAGGAAGAGCTAATGTTATTCTACATTTATTTCAAACTAAATGACCAAGATCACCCCTTATTTATAATAGGGGTTTGGGGGTACCAACTTTGAAACAAGATAATTTTCTCCATATTTCAATTTTTACTTTGAGGAATATGTCCTTGGACCTTTCACCAAATCAACATGGGCTCAGATATCCACATACCCATTGCAGATCCAAAATCATTATTTCATCTAAAAAGCAAACAATGATATGTGCCAAAAATAAATTGAGTTAATGTATTGCTTGAAAGTTAATATTATGAGCTATTTATGGAACTTAATAAATCATCTATTAAAACATAAATGATTAAGATTTTATCGATTAAAGATACTTGTTATTAACTTTGAATTGTGGATTGTATTTCATACAAGAGAAAAATCTTCTTTTTTATTTATCTTTGATTGGACTCCTAACTATTGAGTTAATTCACTAAGTAGACTCAACTAGTTTTTGGGTTGACTCACATGGCTATTGGGTCAACTCACTTAGTTGACTCATTTACTCATTTTTTAGAATTTTCTCTATAAAATTTGTCATATATTATTAAATCATTTTTTTCTCATTTACATTTACACATGTCCCTAAATGATTCTTTTTATGGATTTATATGTAAAGAGTATCATAAAAAAAAAAGATTGGATGTTAGATTTTCGTCCAATTATGCATAACACAAAATATATTTTTTATCAGATTTTTTTTATTATTTTTATTTGTTGATATCCAAAAAACTTAATGACAGATAATGAGTGAATATGCTAGTTACATTTCCCAATATTGATGGACTAGATCAGAGGAGAAAAAGCACATTCATTAATAATGTCAACTTGTTTGACTCTCTTAGATGCATCACCTACTAAGCACATCTTTGAGGCCATGTTTGACCCATACAATTCCCTAGTCAACACTCAGGTACGTAATTAATAAGTAATTAGTGTAAGCTAAATAGTTCATGATAGATGACGTCTCAATGTGCTAACTAGCCCCAAGAACATCTATGATATCTTTGTTCACCCACCCATATTTGACTTGTTAGATTTGACTAATTCTGAACTATGCAAACCAAGTAAAGTAAGAATTATTGAAAATGAAGAAATCCAAATTAAAGCGCCCTTCAAACCGGTGACTTTAGGTAAGACACGTGGCGACCATTGGAAAGCTGTGGCTGTCTTTTAGGAGTCACCCAAGAGCTCGTGCTGACGTAGGCGACAGTTGGAACACGCCCACCAATAGAAAACGTATGACTTGCGGCGCGGCGTCTCACCCACGGTGCTGCGCTTCCCACGTCGTCGTCGTCCGCACCATATGCGCTTCAGTCGAACGAACGCACCCATAAACGCACTCAAGACCTCGGAAGGGCCACCTCTCATGACAAGCCACATCACCCAAAGGGTACGTGGCCAGATTAGACATCGATCGCATCCAATACCGCACATTTCACTATGTAGCCTACTCTCACCACGTCTTCTCACACCTTCTCGTCCGATGCCGAAGACTTCCGTCTCTGTCTCTATTTATGAGAGGAGGCGGCTCTCCTCCAGTCTTTGGACGTCCGTCTCTGCCACCCACCTCCGCCACCGCCGCCCACCTCCCAGCGGCGACGATGTGCTCCATTTCCAGCAGATGGCAGCTCCCCCACAAGCTTCAATCCCGGAGGAGGAGCCGCATCCTCCGCGCCGCCCTGCAAGTCCCCCCCGCCATAGTCACCCCCGGCGGGGCCGCCGTAGCAGACCGCCCAGCTCCGGCAGCGTCACCACCTCCCAGCGCCGTTGCCAACAACCAGAGCCTTCGTTCTACATGGCAACACCGGGGGTGGGTCACCGCCGGCTGCGCAGCGGTGGCGGTCGCCGCCGTGAAGTCCGCCGCGGCGGCCCAGGAATCCGGCCTCTTGGCGGAGCCCCTCATCGCCGCCGCCGCGGGGTACCTCCTCGCCGACCTGGGCTCGGGGGTCTACCACTGGGGCATCGACAACTACGGCGGCGCCGCCACCCCGCTCGTCGGCGCACAGATAGAGGCCTTCCAGGGCCACCACCGGTGGCCGTGGACGATAACCCGGCGGGAGTTCGCGAACAACCTCCACGCCCTCGGGAAGACGGTGGCGGTAGCGCTGCTCCCCTTCGACCTCTTCCCCGGCAACGCGGCGGTGCACGCCTTCGCCGCCGTGTTCGCGGGTTGCATCATGTTCAGCCAGCAGTTCCACGCGTGGGCGCACGGCACGAAGAGCCGGCTGCCGGCGGCGGTGGTGGCGCTGCAGGACGCCGGCGTGCTGATCTCGCGCCACCAGCACGCGGCCCACCACCGCGCGCCGTACAACGGGAACTACTGCATCGTCAGCGGTGTGTGGAACGAGTTTTTGGACGGCTACAAGGTCTTCGAGGCCATGGAGATGGTCATCTTCTTCAAGTCTGGAGTCCGGCCCCGCTCCTGGAGCGAGCCGGAATCCGCGTGGAAGGAGGAGGACGACGAGAGGAGCCCCTGATCGATTGATTTAGTCTGGTTGAAAACTGTACAAACAAACAAAAATCGCCCCCTTTTTTTGGAAACGCGAGACTCAGCCAACGCCCCGCTGCGTCACCAGACAAATTCTGTCCTCTAGAGAGAGAGAGAGCTAGCGTGAGAGCCAGATAGAGGGGGACATCACGTCCACCCATTGGTGGGGAATTTCCTACAGTAGTTGGCGGTCAAGTTGGCCCGCGGCGTACTCAACCCAGCATTAACCCACCTTCCCAGGCCACCGTGGCCCAACGTAGAACACCTTGCGAGCATAAACTGGGTGCGAATGGGTAAAACTCTCCGAAGAACACAAAAAATACAGACCATGGGGGCAAGCAGTAGGGGGAGGCGGTCACGAGAGAGAGAGAGAGGGAGAGAGGGGGTTCGACCTTGATTCGCGTTAGACCTTGTTGGTGGCGGCGAAGCTGAGGATGAACTCCCGGATGTCGTCGCCGGAGGCCCTCTCGAGGGCCGTCTGGCCGTTGCTGTCCCTGACGTCGAAGCGGGCGCCGGCCTTCATCAACTCCTCGATCTTCGGCTTGTCGCCCTCCGAGGCCGCCATCAACAGCAGCACGTCCACCGGGTGGATGTCTTGGCTCAGCAGGGCCTCCATCTTGTCGTAGGAGCCCTCCACCGCCAGCATCCCCATGTAGTTGAAGTACTGCCCAGATTCCGGTATCAGATTACTCGTGCAACACGAAAAATGGGACGAGACTGACGAGGATTTGCGCATTTCATCCAGTATGGGATTCATTCCACCAACAAATAATCGGAAAGAATATCCTCATCTGATCAGACTCAGAGCACAAAACAAATCTAACGAATCCAACCAATCTACAGGGAATGAAGTGCGGCCCCAAATCATCCGGGGTATGGGACAATTATGAAAGAAAATATTGGAAACTAATTAAACCAACTAATAACTCAAACGGATTGAAAAAACATGAGAGAGTTCATGGATCTCGACCACCAATGCAGCTGAATCACGAGTGGGTTGCGTCTCAAACGCAAATCATGAATTAAATGGGTTGGTCTCTGATTGGATGATCTAACTTCCGCAAAAAGGGAAATGAGATCACAGTGTGTTAGCTTGTCTCTTTGTGAGATATCTTACAACCCATCAAAAAGGGTATGTGTTATCACCCTCCATCAAAGAAATTTTGTCTAATGAATGGAAACAAGTTATGAATGAGGAGATGGAGGCATCAGAGAAGAACAAAACATGAGAATTAGTAAGGCTGCCGACAGGAAATGAGTCTAGTGAATCATAGAGTTGACGGATCTATAGGGAGATACAAGGCTAGGTTGGCAGTCAAGGACTATACTCACTCAAACCTATGATATTTTGATAAATCGGAGAATTTTTGCCCCAATCGCAAAGATAATGCTGTCATAATTTTACTCTCATTAGCAACTAATTATGGATGGTAGGCGAATTAGAGGAAGAAACCTATATGGGCATCCCATCAGATTATGGAAAGAATTTGGCAGCTCGTCATATGAACTTAAGCAATCACCTCGGGCACAATTTGACAGATTTGATCTCATGGTACAGACGGTCAAAGCGATCACACCATATATCTAATGCTTGGTTAAGGAGTTTGAGAACAAAGCATTAGGGAGGATGAGCATCTTTGAGAAACATGCAAGAACACATGCAAACCAGCAAGTATTCCAATAGATCCAAAGGTAAAATCTGAAAAGAAAGAGGATGATGGTGCAATAGATAGATATATCAGTGCCTGCTAGGATGATCTTCGACCAAAGTGGTTCACACGTACCTTGAGCTACTGCTCGCAATTGCCGGAAAGTTCTAATCATGCTCTAATTATTTATTGCATCCCGCGGAATGTTCCCAAATTGGCTAGTTTCCATCGGAGAATTATAAGCCAAAGTCTTCTGCAAAATTCTTCATTCGCAATGCCCATCGGAAAATTATGAACAAATAAGTCATTTTTCCTTTTATTCATAAGAGTTATTTTCATTGAATATCCAGGTGGATGGTATTATCCAATGTACTGTGTTGGGTAAGATTCTCCAGGCTTGAAAATTTTAATTCTATTACATTAAATGGGTCGCTCTAATTGGGTGGTTTTCATGGGATTATCTAATTTCTGTAAGCGGAGATACATTTAAAATAATAAACCAAAATCAAAACCTCCATGGGCGGCAGCTAAGTAGCTCACTTTGGGAGACCCTCGGAATTCTATCTGTTGAAGATTTAATATTTCATAAATCCTCGAAACATAGATGAGAGAGTGAGAGTGAGAGAGAGAGAGAGAGAGAGAGAGAGAGAGAGAGAGAGAGAGAGAGAGAGAGAGAGATCTGTCTGAAAAGCCCAAAAGAAAAAGAATGAAAATCCAAGGAATAATCACCGTGAAGGCTCCATTTTCCAACAACCAAAACGAAAAATAAGATGATCGGCGAGGATGAAAGAAAGAATAAAATCTACATTTGAAGCACTCAGAAGAACAATAAAAAAATAAAACAAATAAACCGGGGAAACTGCAATTCCCCAGGATAAGATAATGCTCACAGGAGAGAAAGAGATAGAGAGAGAGAGGCAAAAAGAGGGCCGACCTGCTCGACGTCGTCGCGGTCGAAGTCATCCCGGGACTGGCTACCGTATATCCCGGCACCCTCGGCGTCCACACCACTGCTGCCGAACTTGAACCAGCACCTGGCGCCGCCGCCAGGGGCGGCGCCAGGGCCCAGCTTCGCTCTCAGCCCCGAGGAGGCCCCCAGGCTCCCCAGCCTCTTCCTCAACCCCAGGAACCGGGAGGACAATCTCCCGGACAGGGACAACACCGACCGAGAAGAAGACGAGGACGAAGACGAAGAAACAGAGTGGTAGCTCACCGGCGCCACCTTCCCGGAGGATGAGGAGGGGAAGTCGATGACGATCGAACAGGGAATCGACGCCATTACGAGGAGAGGGGAGAGGGGAGACGAGGGGGAGGATTGGGGGTTCAGGAACGAGCTGGGGATAAAAAAGATGCAAAGAAAGTTGAGACCTTTCTCTTGGCCGCCGTCCCTGCGCCCCCAGTTATGGAGTCCGTGGGTCTCATTCGATATAACCACGCCGATCTGGTCTTCGTCCGCGATAGCTCACTCAGGGGGGGGGGGCTCATACCGTGGTCTTCTTGTTTTGCTGCAGTTAGGCATCAAATGATATTCTCGGGAGTGACAATATCATTTGATGGGGGGTCTATCCCAGACTGGTAAATAGCCGACTTATTCTGGGATTCTCAACGGATTACCGCTGGATAAGGAAGCATCCAGTCCTCTCTCTCTTCTGTCTGTCTGTCTGTCTCTCTTCTCTCCCTCTCTCTCCTCTCTTGGTGAATTCCAAAATCCTTTTTTCCAGGTTCCCTCTCGCGTAAATAAAAATGTATTATTTATACTTTCCTCGGAATAAATAATCGACACTTTATACCTTTCTCTCTCTTCTCTCTCTCTCTCTACCTCTCTCTCCCCCATTTGGTCCAACTCCAAAATCCTTTTTTCCGGGTTCTCTCTCTTATAAAAAAAATGTATTATTTATACTTTCCTCAAAATAAATAATCGACACTTTATATTTTTCTCTCTCTTCTCTCTCTCTCTCTCTCTGTACCTCTCTCTCCCCATTTGGTCAACTCCAAAATCCTTTTTTCCGGGTTCTCTCTCTTATAAAAAATTGTATTATTGATGCTTTTCTCAAAATAAATAGTGGACACTTTATACCTTTCTCTCTCTTCTGTCTCTCTCTCTCCCATCTTGGTCAACCCCAAAATCCTTTTTACCGGGTTCTCTCTCTTATATATATAAAAATATTATTTATACTTTCCTCAAAATAAATATTCGATGATCTATACCCAATACTGTATCCTATACGTGAGAGTTTCCGCCAATATTCGGATCTTTATCGGTTCGGAGACGGTGCCCGACAGAATCCGATATCACATTCGTTTTCACTCGCGGCTTCTTCAACTTCCTCCGCAAGAACCGACGAGGGTTTGGAGACGGGAAGAAGGAAGTCTAGGGTTCGCTCCTCAGATCCCTAATCCTCTTAATTTCTCTGCGATTGGTGGGATCAGAATTCCTAGGGTTTCTTTGCTGTGCAGTGATCGTCATCGTCGCTATTGGCCTTTGCAGGGCTTCCAGCTGCGATCTTTCTTCTGGCCATGGCAACTGCCGAGGGTAATAAGACTGCGACGGCGGCGCCGGCATCAGCCGAGGGGACCAAGGTTGCAGAGGAAGTCGTGAAGATGGACCTGTTCGAAGATGACGACGAGTTCGAAGAGTTCGAGATCGACGAAGGTATGTCGACATCAAACAAATTAAACTCGATCGCGTGTTGGTGAAGGGGCGTTGTGATGGTCCCGGGGTTGTGTGTTCCAAGGATCAGAGAGGAATGTCTGCTGTTTGGTTGACTGCATTCAGGGAACTGATTTGGTGTTTTCACGCTGTTAAAGATTTTTAATGCGTTTTATCGATAGGTTATGATTTCTTCCGCGCTGTGGCAGATTTATGGTTAGATGTGGTTACTGGTCTAGTTGGTGGTCATCCCGTATCCGATTATTGTATGTATTCACGTTGAGTGCATGTGGTTCTGCAACAGTTCATTTCATACCGAAGAACATTGAATTTTGTACAGTCAGTCAGACACGATGAGCAAATAGAAGGGTTCAAGAGGTTGATAATTAGTGATAAGTAGAGTAATGCAAGCAACGGAGCTATTGTAGGACTAGTACAGCATGGAGTTCTGGAATTAGAGCTTTTCTTTACGCTTAAAAAATAAAAAAAAATGAAGGATCTTCCAAAATAGCTGTCGAGATCGTAGGCAGCCCGCCCTTATGCCCTTGTGCTCAGCTTCGCCCCAGAAGTGGAAACTTACAGGAGGGTCAGTATGTTAAGAAAATTCTCCCTTGTAACATGAGTGGTATCTTCCCAGATAGATTGTGATTCTAAATTCCCACGTCTGTTTGATTCCTTCGATCTTCCCAATTATTTGATATTATAAGGTTCAAAGATCATTTTTGTTCTCATTGCTCTGCATTGCCTTGAAAATAGCCGACAATCAATGGGGGTCCTTTTGCGCTTATTTTTCCTTCCTGTCAAAATTATCATCAGGGACTTGCGAAACTTTCTCGTCATATCCAAATCTATCCCCGCGGTTGCATGATCGTAGAGTGTACGAATTTTGAATCTTCAAGGAGCCTACTGTAACATACGCACTATCTTATGTTCCCTGTGCCCATTTATTGGTACCATCCGAAACATAGGCAGGAGTCAGACGCTACTCCCGTTCCTAGGAGGGCTAGGATAACCTTGGCTCAACAGAAATAAGATTTATAGGGTTATACAAGAAAAATAGCTGGCCGCGAGATTTTTCCTGTTCGACCTGCATATGTTCCCCGAGATAGGACGCCCACGCCCTCTAACCAGTGTTGACCATAGAAAAATTTGTTTTTCAGCCTCGACCTACATATTTTCCGTCAGCTTGTAGACATTCAATCCCAAACATGCGACCAGATCCAATTGGAAAAATCACATGCAGGTTTGAAATAGAGAACGGAATCAGAACCTAAATTTTCTTTCAGATTGGGTTCTTGCCTTTCTTCTGGTTTGGATTCCCAGAGGAATGGAAGGGAAAAGTTGTTTGAGAGCAATCTTGAATATTCTTCATTGCGTGGGGAGAAGTTATGACTTGTCGTATCATGTGGCCATTGGAGAAAATCTAATCATGATTCCATTGTTGTCGCCCTGTTGTTTTGCTGTCTGTTGCTGCCGGGTTCACATGTAAAGACGCTTTAACAAAGGCGCCAACCTCAATGTAGACGCTTTTCTTCGAGATATAAAATTTTCTATCTGGTGTTAGTTATTTCTCCTACTGGCGTCAACACTTTCTGTTAGAATCCTGGCACTTTCTGTCATGTGCTGACCATCTGGATCGATTTGTTTTTTTTCTTCCTTCTCAATAATCGATTTTACTTAATGAATCTGAAATACACTAACAATGCATCACTCTGCAATGGGTATTATCTTCATCAGAAGCAATTTTCATAGACGTCCATCTGATAATTCTGTTCCCACACTCGTGTGATCGCCTAAACCTTGTTTCCGTGTGATTTATTGTTTCTTTTTTCTGTCACTAAATTTACTGCTTTTTGTAGATGAGTTCGGTAGATTTTTAAAAATAGCCTCCTCTCTCGATTTTTATGACATCTTTTTAAAGTCATATGGAAATGCGGAAGTTTCTTCTCAGCCAACAACAAAAAAAGAATTCTCAGTAATCCCTTGTCCTACAGTCACCGGAGGATTTGTCTTCGTTCCTTACACGTTCTTCCAAGTGATTTACTTCAGCGTTTCCCAAGAAAGTCAACTGGGAGAAAGTCAACTGGTGGGACGCCTTTCTTCTCCCACAGAATTTTAAACTACGCTGCAGTGGAATAGTGGGTGGATGCCAAACATCAGTCCAGATCATTTTGCATAGACATATGCCTAAGCTCATTGTTCTTCCTTGGATGATACTCGGACTAACTTCGTGTGTACACGCCATTTTAGCCAGCGACCGATCATTTCCATTTGTCAGCTGACAGAAGTCCCCTTTGGCTATCTGCTATCTAGACTTTGAGGGGGGGGGGGGGCACCAGTCTGTGAGTTGCCTCTGATTGACCATTTTTGGGTTGACCTTGATCTCTGCAGTATCTGTGACAAGTGAGAAATTATCTGATTGCTTGAAGTGAAAAGCTCAAGAGACTGCGCGTCACTGATTTGAGCATATGATCACATTGAGTCATTTCTTTCGCATACAAACAACAGACAGGAATGAGGAATTATCTTTCATAATATCTGAAAATCCGCCATATTTTTAGAAAGGACAGCTATTATCAGTATGGATCGATCTCTGCTACCCGGGGTCTCCGGCCACATCTCCCTCTTTGGAAATGATGCCAAGCTTTTTTTATTTCCCTCCTATAATCTTACAATTTTCTCGTGCTATTTCTCTAATATTCGTCTAACTATCCATCTGGGTTCAGCAACATCCCCTCAATCCTGCAATTTCTTACAATTTTGTCGATATTCGTGAAAAAAAAACATCCATCCGCATTCAACATGCTCTGAGCTCCTGATGTCATCTCATCTCCGCGTGATTTACACAGATTATTAGGATTAGATGTAACCTGAATGCTGCCATCTTGTAGAATGGGATGATAAGGAGGAGGGGAAAGACGCATTGCAGCAGTGGGAGGACGACTGGGACGACGACGATGTCAACGACGACTTCTCCCAGCAGCTGAGGCGGGAGCTGGAGAGCCACGCAGAGAAGAAGTGATCAGTGATCTCTCTCTCTCTCTCTCTCTCTCTCTGTGTGTGGCTCTGTCTGGGAATGGGCCGGAAACCCTGAAGAGTTGTGGTGAACTCAGCACCTGTGGAATGAGAAGAAGCTTTTATTCTAATTTCCTGCCTTTCTCGTGGCTATGCTTCATTTTATTGGCGATTGTGCTGGCCTAGATATGAGAGAGAGAGAGAGAGAGAGATTATCTCAGCGTATTTTCTATGAGATTTACGATAATCCATATGGGAATAAGATCTGAGAGAACCCTGCGGGAATCTCATTCCGGAAAATCAATTCCTCCCGATGTGCAGCCAGAGAGGGAGAGAGAGAGAAAGAGAGAAACATTCGCAGAAGCAGATTTCTGCCGGCGACTCAGACTCCTCTTCTCGATCACCCTTCCTCGCCGCTGCTGCTCTGGTAATCATACACAGATCTGGCGCCGGGTGGTCTGGGGGAGGGGGCGTCCTCGCCGTCCGATCCCCACGCCTCATCATCTGAGCCCTCAGATGTGACAGCATCATCCGGTCTCCAGCCCTGACCTTGCACTCTGTTCCTCGTTCTGGCCTCCCAGACTCCGCTGTCCGATCCAGAGTCCCAACCAGGATCGGCTCTTCTTCCCCTGGAAGGAGGAGCCCTTCTCTCTCTAAAAGAGCCCGCTCGGCTGCCTTCTTCTCTCCTCGGCCTTGAATTGCCGGTCTCCAAGCAGCGGCGGCCACCGCCACTGCCGCTGCCTTCTTCTGGGCCACCATCCAAGAGCTCAACGTCAGAATCAAATTCTTCCCCGGCAGAGACTCCTGAATCCTCATCGTCGCTGACCCATCTTCGAACCTCAGCAGCCCGCCGGCTCCGGCCACTGTAATCAGGCTCACCACCGCTGCCGCCGCCATCACCACTGTCCTTGGCCCAGTATCTGATCTTTGAGGACTCTTCTTTCTCTGCCGCCTCCTCCTCCGCCCACTCCCGGTCTGCCGCCTCCTCAATCTCTGCAATGAAGCGGTCAAGCTCCTCCTGGTCACTGTCCTCTGGAGGGATTCCTTCATCCTCTTCCTCTGCTGCCACTGCCGCCGCTGCTGCTGCCACCTTCTTTGGGGAGGTGGGGCTTCTTTCCCCCTGGAAGACATAGGGGGTGCCTTGCTTCTCATCGATGGCGCGGAAGAAGGTGGCGGCCACCCGCTGGATGCTGGCGAGGGCAACCGGGTCCTCTGGGTTGACCCCCTTCCGCCGCAGCTCCTGCTCCAGCTTCTTTATGTTCAGCTTCTGTGACTCGAGGGCCTGCTCGAACCGGGCCTTGAATAATGCCTGAAATAGTAATCATGTGGGATGTTTCATGAGGAGGGTGAATATCCAGAGGATGCGAAGCCCAAGAAACATTAAATTCCACCCATCAGACCAGAAACTTAAATTATATCTTCTTCTCTACCATATTTCTACGGCGAAACTATAACAAGCATGGAGTCTGGAGGCCTTTTTTTTTTAGATGCAAACGAAGACACGAGGCAAGAGAACCCAGACAAGAACATGGTAAATTAAAGAAAAAAATATAAAAGTTAATGGAGATCAGTCAAGATATTCCTTTTATAGATCATACTTTATTCACTGCCTGGGATCTCTTCAAATGGGTTCTTCACCTCTGCCCAAAAAGCTTGAATGGCGTAAAAACAAACAGTTTTTTTTCTTTTTTTAAGGTGAATGAACCCTAAAAATGTTTTATTACATGAACAGGTTTCTGCAAGAAAAGACAATCAATTTTGAATCGAACCAGCCTGGAAAAGTAGTAAGTAGCTCAAGAGCCACAAGCAGAGAAAAAAGCTTGAATGACAGAAAAACCAACAGTTCTTTTTCTTTTTATTAGATGAACAGGTTTCTGTGAGAAATGACACCAAATTTTGAATCAAACCAGCCTGGGAGGATAGTAAGGAGCTCATGAGACATAAACAGAGAATACTTTCTCACATAAAAATTAATCTCAGAAAAAGGGTGGTGGGGGTGTTGAGGGGGAGAGGATCCGCACCTTCCTCTTCGTAAGAGTGTTGATGGGAATCAGATTCTTTGGCTGCCGATAGTTCCTCCCCCGGAACATGATGATTGTCTTCACATCATGGATGTTCACAACGATGCCGCCACTCAGCCTTGCCAGCATGGTTGCCATGTCCTTGATCTTCTCCTTTGGGAAGTTATCGCAGCAGACCTGCACGGTCTCATGGAACTTCCAGTGGAGATGCATGTTCTGGACGACTCCGCCAAAGACCCCTCTAACTCCCACAGGGACGTAGTTTCTGTTCCTGAAGCCAATCTTCCTGTATGCCTGGAGCTGCTCTAGCGTCAGTAGCTCTGGATCATGGCGGGGAGCAGGCAATTCGGGCAGCTCGTATTTCTTGAGCTTCTGGAGCAGCAGAGCTACCTTCTTCTTGGCCTTCAACAGGAAAGGTGGATCAAATCAATGATGCATGTGAAGATGGGGGCGGTTATTCTACGACTGAATTCTATAATTGGCCAAATTTCTAGCACGAGCATCCAGAAATTTCCAGTATAATGAGGCCTTGAAGAAGTTTTTTCCAGATCAGGGGTCTTGTCCTATCCTGATCCTAGGAAATCTAAGGGATGTTGGAATGATATGAGCTCGGAAGAACCATGACTGTGTTTACAGAGTTCGATGCTTCCTGTTCATGGTTTATTTTGTTTATTCTAGTGAGTGAGGATATCGACAGAATCAGGAATAATGCTCTTCAACTTAGAAATCTAAAGAAACTCGGAATGAGACAAACGAGACCGTGTTGACAGAGCTCCACAGCTCCTCTCCATGGTTTATTTTGATCATTTTTGTTCTTGAGGTAGATCAAAAGAACTAGGATGCATATTCTTATCCTAAAAAATCTTCAGGAAGTTGGAATGAGATGAGCTCGGAAGCACCGAGACCGTGTTTTCAGAGCTCGGAAGATCCTCTTCAGGGTCGAATTTGTTCATCCATGACTTTGAAATCGATCGAAAGGATCAGGAACCAAATTCAATTCCAGTAGGGGTTGATTGAGAGAATCCAGAAGGGGCTTACTCTTCTGAGGTTGTACATGAGCCTCTCCTCGTCCGTCATCAGCTTCTTCCTCAGCTTCCTCGCCCGCCGTATCTCCCTCAGCGTCTTCCCCGTCTCTCTCCGCATCCTCCGCTCCACCTTGCTCCTCATGCTGCTACTCCCCCTCTCCATCGACATGAACCTCGCCCCACTGATACCACACAGCGGAGGGACCATGGCGGCGCCTACTCCACAAGCTGCCGGAGCCTGCATCCCGTGGTTCGCATTGCGAGCCAAGGGGAGGGGCGCCGGCAGAAGATTCCTGCAGCAAGAACAGAAGCGGCCGAGGAAGAAGCCGAAGAGGAATCCAGAGGAATCAGCTTGGGGAAGCAAGCCGGTAGGAGAGCAGGAGACGGGAATGGCGGAAATACCTGCTCTGGAGGAGAGAGACGGCCCTCCGGCAGTGCCTCTGCGCACTCCTCGCCGCCCACATTTCGACGTCAGCATCCAGCAATTCCTCTCTCTCTCGCTCTCTCTCTGTCCTCGTCCTCCCCCCCCCCCCCTCTCTAGACACGGAGCACAATCTCGGTGTAGCACCGCAAACCAGAAACTTGAGACTTACTGTAGTCGTCCTAAAGAAGTATGTAGGAGAGAGGAAGAGAGATAGAGGTAGGAACAGAGACAGGAGGAGAGAGAGTGAGTGAGAGAGAGAGAGAGAGAGAGAGGAGAGGGAAGAGGTTTAGGGTTTCCTAAGTCTGCGAGGGGGGAAGGTCGGGAAGCCAGGATCCACAGTAAAATGGGTCGGATCTCACATGTTCGGTTCGGATCCAATAATGGGCCGTTGTAACTTCGGCCCATTAGTAGGGACCACGGCAACCAGGCTTATATGTAAATACATTTATTTCACATTAACCGAAACTCTGTTTTATTCGATCCCTCTATAGAAAAATAAAACGTATGGTGGTTAAAATAAACAGTACTAAAATTTATCAGGGTTTTATAGTAATTTTCATCCGATCCCTTTCCTTCTCCTTGGGGGCTCTCCCGGCGGCGATTTGACCATCGTCGAGGGCTTGGAGGAAGCCGCCGCCGATGGCCTCCGCTGCCGTGGGCCCACCGCCGCCGGAGCAGTCGCCGGAGCAGCCGGCGCCGCTGCCGAGTGTCATCGATACCCTGGGAGAGGAGATCGTCCGCATAATTTCCCCGGTCTCCATCTGTATGCTCCTCGTTGTCCTCCTTACCGCCGTCCTCTCCGACCCCTCGGATTCCTCCTCCTCCTCCTCCTTCTCCTCCGTCCTCTCTTTCTCCGATCCCTCCGGCGGCTCCAGTGCCGCCTCCTGGACGGAGAAACTCGGCGGCGCTCTGATCGACTCCCTCATTTTCGTCGTCGTCATCACCGTCGTCACCTTCCTCCTGGTTCTCCTCTTCTACCTCCGGTGGACCGCCTTCCTCCGCTACTACATGGGCTTCTCCTCCTTCCTCGTCCTGGTATTCATGGGAGGTGAGCTCTCCGCCCTCCTCCTGCGGCGATTCGATCTCCCCCTCGACTGCGCCACCTTCGCGCTTCTTCTGTTCAACTTCGCCGCCGTGGGGGCGGTGGCGGTGCTCGCCGGCAGGGGCGTCGTTCCCATCCTGCTCACGCAGGGTTACCTGGTCGTCATCGGGGTGCTTGTGGCCTTCTGGTTCACCATGCTCCCGGAGTGGACCACCTGGGCGCTGCTGATCGCCATGGCGCTGTACGATCTCGCCGCCGTGCTCCTTCCGGTCGGCCCTCTCCGGTTGCTGGTGGAGCTCGCCATCTCCCGCGACGAGGAGATCCCCGCTCTGGTCTACGAGGCCCGCCCCGTGGTGGACCATCACCAGGACGACGCCGGCGGTGACGGGCGGCGGCTGTGGAGGCACCGGCGGGATCCGGAGGGCGGCGATCCCGATTCGTCCCTCTTGCTGTCGCCGGAGACGATGGACGACACAGAGTCTCCTGGTTCAACCCTAAGGACTCCATTGATAGCGTCGCCGTTGCAGAGGATGGGATCCGAGGATCTGGACGGGATCGGGCTCGGCTCCTCGGGGGCGATCAAGCTAGGGCTGGGGGACTTCATCTTCTACAGCGTCCTGGTTGGCCGTGCGGCGATGTACGACTTCACGACGGTCTACGCTTGCTACCTCGCCATTATCGCCGGCCTCGGGGCCACCTTGCTTCTGCTGGCGTTCTTCCGCAGGGCGCTGCCGGCCCTCCCCATCTCCATCGCGCTCGGCGTGGTGTTCTACTTGCTGACCAGATTCTTGCTGGAGGAGTTCCTCGTCCAGTGCTCCGTTAATCTAGTAATGTTTTAGGGATGCAATTCTGATTCATTTTCCTGCTCATAATTGTGTCTTTGCTTCGCTGAAATTCCTTTTTTTTTCGTTTTTTGGGGAATTCTCATCATGGTTCTTCCTCCATCTCAAGAACACACAATCTGTTGTTCTGTATATTATGATCATCAAACAAAACCCAGAACATATGAAAAACAAAGTTATTCAGTTCACAATCTCAGGTTCTAGAGATGAACCGTCAAACAAACCAGAAATCTATTTCTTTTTCTTTTTTTAATTCTGCTCACAGTCTCGTGTTCTATGGATGATTATTTAAAAAACCCAGAATCCGAGAACTGATATTCAATCCACAATCTCATGTCCTGTTCCTGGCCTTGAATCAGAAAATCAGGAAGAACTGAAGATTGATTGCACTCTTGTAGGTTATTATAATGCTTTTTTAGGGAATCTAATTCTTTTTTTAAAAAAAAATCTGCTGAAAATCTCTTGTTCTATAGATGATTATCCAAACAAAATCCAGAATCTGATAACTCTTATTCAATGTACAATCTCATGTCCTGGCAATGAACCAAAAATCATGAAGAACTGAGGATTGATTGCACTCTCGTAGCTTATTTTAATCCTTTATTAGGAAATCTTTTTTAAAAAAATTTCTGTTGACAATCTCTTGTTCTATAGATGATTATCCAAAAAAAATCGAGAATCGAATCCGAGAACTTTTCTTCAATCCACAATCTCATGTCGTGTCCTTGAATCAAAAAATACAAAGAACTGAGGATTGATTGCACTCTCGTAAGTTATTTTGTTGCTTTCTTGTGGCCTGATGATGCTTTTTTTTTTTCAATAGAAATGGCACTACAATGCTTTATTAGGGAATATCAAGCAGCAATCTGATATTTCATTCCTTTTTTTTCAAAGAAATATGAGATTCCTCTTCAGAAAATAGTGAACGAGGCGGCTACATTCCCTTTTCACCTGATTATTTGTTCATACTTTGAATACGATAAACTTAATATGATTATTCCTGCATGAAATATTAGATTCTGGATTTGCTAAATTGAGTAAAAGGGCTCAATCAAGATGCTGCTCTTCAGTTTTTTTCCTTTTTTTTGGGAATTCTTTTCTTGTCATTCTTCATTTCTATAAGACCAAGGCGATGAGCACAGATTAAGATGCAGAACGAAGAGAAAGGAGGGGCCATTTTTGTTCTAGCAGGTAAGATTTTTATATTCGCGATTAATTTTCTTTTTTTGTGCTCGTAGTCAAATAAAATGTAATCTAAAATGATTTCTTCATTCATATGATGAATGAATTAGGTAATCTAAATTGATGAATGTAATGTAAATATATTTTGTCTTAGCTTTCCAAGAATCTGGGGGGGAGGGGGGAGCGTAGAGAGACTCTCACTCTCACTCTCTCTCTCTCTCTCTCGCTAGGCATGTCTGGATTGGGAGCTCATTTCCACTCGCCACGTGGCTGTTTCGCAAGCATCCTCGTCTCAGTCTCTCTGCCCCCTTTCTCCCTCCTCCTGCGACCTCAGTTTCTCTCTCATCACCGTATAAATTGAGAGTCAACTCGGGCCATCCGGAGGTCTAAGCACATCACTGAGATGCTAAAAATACTACCAGACTGGTTTTCTGAGGCGGCCGAGATTTGTAGAAAATGAGAATGAATTATTTATCGGGTATTTAATATATATTGTCTCTGAATCTAAGCAACTAAAAAATCATTTTTCGCATAATTATTTGGTAATATATTTTTAAAAATATCTTTACCCACTAAAAGTTTTACGCATATGAAATCAAACGTACGGAGGAGGGTCAGGTTAGAGAGAGAGAGCAAGAAAAATAGGGCTTATAATTTTTTAGCTGAGGAGAGAAAATGGAAGAGAGTGGAGAGAGAAAATGGGGTTTAGAGAGAGAGAGTCACTGGGAGAAAAAAATTCAGAATCCAGACTCTCGAGTAGAAGTTGTAGAGAGAGAAAATGGGCTAGAGAGAGAGAGTCGCTGGAGAAAAGTCAGATCCAACTCTTTAGATTAGAAGATAGTAGAGAGAGAAAATGGGATTTAGAGAGAGAGAGAGAGGACCAAGTCTGGGGGTTTTTTTTTTCTTTACTCGGGGATTTCGATTTTTTAAATTGGATGAATTAACGTCGGTCAACTTGAGGGCTTAGTCAGGGAGAATTTCTTGACCGCCGATTTGTGGGGCGGCGTTTCGAAGGGGAAACGAGCGGCACAGAAAGCGACAGCGATTCACGGAAGAATCGCGCGGATGCCGTGGGGATCCCGCGGAGCGCTGTGGGCGCTGAGTTATCGTTTCCCAAGGCATCCAAATCTCTCGCAAACGTTTGGATCAGATTCTACGTGTGGACAATACTCACATAGGCAAGCGTCGGGGTAGGTTAGTGAAATGAATCCGAGTGCGCAGCAGAAACAGTAGGCCGGCAGATAAAGCATCCCCGTCGCTGCCGACTATTACGAAATTAGGGCATCGTGAGAGATGGGGCTGGCGGGCGGCGACTTAGACCTGCGAGCGATGGCGACGACTTCACCTGCCGCCATCAGTAGTCGCTCGCGTCATGGGGATCACCTTCCCAACACCCTCGGTGCCCCTTCGACCGAGTTGTCGGAGGGGAGGGAGACGTTGGGTGGTCGTGGAGAGAGAGAGAGAGAAAACGGGGGAAAGAGGGAAGTAGAAGATAAGGAAAGAGACCTGCCCCGAATACTACTTTTAAGAAGTCTTCTTCGTGTTGGTTAGATGGCCAGAGGAGGCGGCTGTGGAGCCTCCCCCATATCCGCCGCCGCCCCCGTCGTTGTGGTCTACGGCAGGAAGAGATGAACCAGTTGCAACGGGCGGTGGTCCGGCTGGATCTGAAGCGGAGCCTTGCCGGGCACCTGAGCCTCTTCCGCCGCCTCTTCCGCTTCCTCTGGACGCGAGCCCTCATCTGCTCCGCTGGGGGGTCGAAACGGTACCGGGCACTCAAGCGATGCCCGTCGTCCCCCGGCGAGAGTATGGAATTACCCATCGTCGTTTCAAGACGTTCCGACGACTTCGACGGGGACTCGGATTTGGTGGCCCTTAAGATCAGCCTGTTGGGTGATTGCGATATCGGGAAAACAACCTTCATGGTGAGAACCTGCAGAACAATTTGCTTTTCCTTCAAACTCGTGTTCCGTGCAGTTTATTCCTCCTGTTTCTTGCTCTCAGTGTGTTTGCGACTTTCATCCATATGTCCAGGTGTGCCTTTGTGGTGTGAGATTGAGAATACCCATTTATTTGTCATCCAAACTAACCAGCCATTCAACCTCTGGTTTTATGCGTTCTTGGAATTTTTTCCATTTCTTTTAGATTTCATTTACCTGACTTATCCATTTCAATTTTTTTCCATTTTCCTCTACGGGTAGATCAAATATGTGGGAGACGAGGAGCAGACGGGATTGCACATGTCAGGGTTGAATCTGATGGACAAGATTTTTTCCGTTAAGGGAGCAAGGATTGCCTTCAGAATTTGGGATATCAAAGGTACGTGAAGTCTGTTACCTTGAATGAGGGTTCTTCGATTTTGGGTCCTGATCTCTTCCTGTTTAAGCTCAAGTAGTGATAATTCTTGCAGGAGATCAACAATCCCTCGATCATATGCCTATTGCGTGCAAGGATGCAGCAGCAATCCTGATCATGTTCGATCTGACTAGCCGTTGCACACTAAATAGGTCTGTTAGATGTCTAGCCTTTTGGATCTATGTCCCATGTCTGACAATTGGTTAATGGTTGATCTTTTAAAAATGTGGCTAAAAGTATCGTAATCTTGAATATGTTCCTCATTAATTAGAGAAAGTTTCATCAAACCTTTTGATTTATGAAATGAATCTGATCCCCGAATCTTGTTGAGATTTTGATGGAAAATCCTAATAACAAGAGCTTTCATTCCGTGGGATTTAATTTTTTAAATGCCACTAACATTTAGCGTTTGTTGTGTGATAAATTACGTCGATCGCTTTTTAAAAATGGGTTTCCATACAAATCCAATTGGTGGAGATGGTGAGTTGAATTTATCAGAAATTTATGGAGCAGAGTCTAATTCCAAAAGATGTTGTTTTATCGACTAATGACTTATGTTGGGTTGTTCATAATCACCTAAATGATGACGTTGACAACAATTTCCCCATCGCATATCATATTTCAAATACATTTCTGGAAACCAGTTTCAATTATTTTAATTTCTGTTTCTAGTATATTTACTGAGTAATGAATTACGAGACATCCGCGCTTTTGAGAAGTCTCAATGAAGCGTCAGGATGTTAAATGTTTGAATTATTTAAATGACCTGATGCCGACATTGTCTTTGTTTTTATCTTCCAAATTCTATTCGTCTTCCTAGCGCTAAATGATAAAATAGGTAATCTGGCCACCATGTCTGTCACCTGATCTTATTTTACTAGCCACGATAGGAAACTATTATGTTTTTCGTATTTTTGTTATTTTCTTTGACAATAATGTTGATGTATATAAATAAATTTGATGAAGCCATATGAGGCATAAGTAAAGATCTGAAGATTCAACTTTATAGTTTTTCTGCCACTCAATTTAAGAGTTTTTTGCGCAATGTTGTTGATGCTGGCAATGATTACAACTTATCCGCGCTTCTGAGATTTCTCTATGAAGCATAAGGATAACTGGTTGAATCTCTTGATATGAGCTTATATTAACATTGGTTCGTTTTTGTGTTTTTTGTGCTTAATCACAGATGAATTTGAATAACTTCAAGGAATTTATTTAACCTCAATTCAATATCTGCAAGTTCAGATTTATAAATTTTCCTTTCGCCCAAATGAAGAATTTTTTTTCTTCTTGTTATAACTCTTGTTTGCTTTCTGGGCAACGATGTTGATGCTTGCAATGATTACAACTTATCCGCGCTTCTGAGATTTTTCCATGAAGTACAAGGATAACATTAATGGTTGAATCTCTTGATATGAGCTGATATTAACATTGCCTTGTTTCTTGTGTTTTATAATTTTTTCTCGGTGACATCTACCCATAGATTCTGAAATCAATTACTGATTTTGAAATCCGAGATGAATTTGCATCCAAGTCCGGTTTTATAAATTTTTCTGACGATCAAATGAAAAAAAATCATTTTTCATTGTTAAATTCTTGTTTATTTTCTGGCAACCATGTTGATGCTTGCGATGATTACAACTTATCCGCGCTTCTGAGATCTCTCAATGAAGTACAAGGATAAAAGTAATGGTTGAATCTCTTGATATGAGCTGATATTAACATCGCCTTGATTTTTGTGTTTTATAAATTTTTTCCGGCAACATCTACCCACAGATTCTGAAATCAATTACTGATTTTGAGACCCGAGATGAATCTGAGTAATTATGATGTAGAAAATAGCTTCATTGAAATAATATGACCTTAATTCAAAATATATAAGTCCGGTTTTATACTTTTTTCTGACTATGAAATGAAAACAATTCATTTGTCATCGTGAAATTCTTGTTTATTTTCGGGGCAACAATGTTGATGCTGGCAATGATTACAGCTTATCCGCGCTTCTGAGATTTCTCCATGAAGTACAAGGATATAGTAATGGTTGAATCTCTTGATATGAGCTGATATTAACGTTGTCTTTATTTTTGTTTTGTCGGTTTGTTTTTCGACATCCTCTACTCCCAAATTCTGAAATCACTTACTGATTTTGAGATCCGATATGGATTTGAGTAATTATAATGTAGGAAATAACTCCATTCAAATAATATACCCTCAATTCAGTGCCATAAGTCCTGGTTAATTTATTTTTTTTCTCGCGATAAAATGACAAAAAAATGTTTTGTCACTGTAAAATTCTTGTTTATATTCTTGGCAATAATGTTGATGCTGGCAATGATTATAGCTTATCCGCGCTTCTGAGATCTCTCCATGAAGCACAAGGATAAATATTCATTGTTGAATCTCTTGATATGAGCTGATATAAACATTGCCTGTTTTTTTTATTGTATATGTTTGTACATTAGATGATTCATACTGGATTTTTCATCCTGTCTGCGGCCTGATTTGGACCATGTTTTATAAATAATAACATATTATGGATTATTTCTACGAAAATGCGAAAATTATTCCTTCGGTGCTTTCAATGAATTCATCTACATGAGCTAATGTTGAAATTTCGTAGGATTTCGTGGATCATAGTTATTTTAATTTTGCCCATCATGTTATAATATATTTTCCATCTAATTTCCTCTATTTTATTGGAGAATAAATGTTCACTTTAATAGGAAATATCTAGCAATTTCCTGTTCGCAGAAAAAAAACTAATAATCTTCTCCAAAAATTTCGTGCAGTGCTATTGGGTGGTACAATCAAGCGAGGAAGCTGAACAAGGTAGAAAGAGTAATTCCCCCTCTCTCTCTCTCTCTCTCTCTCTCTCTCTGACTAGCTGTTTCTTGCTTGCCTGCCTCTCTCTAGACGAGTCTTGTCAGAGCTTGGAACCGCGGATTATTACGAGAAAAAGGAAAGCCCTCTTAACCTTGTCTGTCATCTATGTTGCTTTTGGTCATGCAGGCGGCCATCCCCGTGCTGATAGGTACCAAATTCGACGACTTCGTTGGTCTCCCCGTGGACATGCAGTTGACCATCGTAAACGAGGCAAGTATATACTACATACAATATCTATACTAAAAATTGGAAAAGGTTGCTGTTCTTGGTTCCTGATTATCTTTCAAAAATGGAAAAAAAGAAGATATTTCCGACCTCAAAATCGGGCTTGTAGATAAGAAGAATATTATCGCCAGCCTTAGATCTTGCTGTCTCCTGGTTCCTGATTATTTACTTCCTCTTGCTGTGGGCAGGCGAGGGCTTGCGCGAGGGCCATGAAGGCGGCGCTCTTCTTCTCGAGCGCCACCCACAACATCAACGTCAACAAGATCTTCAAGTTCGTGGCCTCCCGCCACTTCAACCTGCCGTGGGCTCTCCAGCGGAACCTCACCCTCGGAGAACCCATCATCGACTTCTAGCCCTCTCCCCTCTCTCTCTCGCTCTCTCTCTCTAGAGGAAGCTTATGGGAGTAGCCTTGGTGGGTATTGGAAGGATCCCCAGGTGATGTAACATAAGCTGTGCCTTCTGTGAAGTCATCCGCTCTGCTGTGATGGCGCATGTATCTACGAATTTTAGAGATTTTCAGGCCTCCTGTGGAAGATCATCAAGTGGTGGTGAACCCATCATCGACTTCCAACCCCCTCTCTCTAATCTCGACTCTCTTTCTCTCTCTAGATTATTAGCCTTGTCGGTATGGAAAGAGCCTAGATTCACGGCGCATGTAGAGGGGAGCAACCGCTTGGGTTATTTACGAGAAAATGACCCATAACCCCTGCCACAACCTTATCCGTATTTTATGCCCCTTTGTACATGAATGGTAGCTGAATAGGGGACTGGAAATTAGGGGACGAGATAGACTGTAGGGGGCATATACACAATATCATTAAAAATGGGGGAATATGAATTATATGGATGGCAAAAAGGTCGTAGAACCACATGACCGGGCATCGGGTTTTACATAACCGGGGCCCGGAATCCTCGTGGGAGCCTGGACCCAATTTAAGCCCATTTAGGCCGGAAGATAGTTTGGACTTTCTTCTCTCATTCTCTCTCTCTCTCTCCCTTCCTCTCCTTCTCCCTCTTCCTTTCTTCCTCCTCTCTCTCTCTCTCTCTCTCTCTCTCTCTCTCTTGCTCTGTGCGTGGTGAAGGGAGAGATGGGAGGAGATTGCAAGTACGAGATCAGGCAGGAAGCGTACGTGAAATTGGTCCTGCACGCCCTCAAGCACCGCGCCTCGGCCGTCAATGGCCTCCTCGTCGGCCGCCTCGTTGACGCCGCCGGAAGCGGATCAGCGGGCGTCCAGATTGTCGATGCCGTCCCGCTCTCCCACTCCCAGATCGGGCTTCTCCCGTCCCTGGAGCTCGCGCTGATCCAGGTGTGAGTCTTCTCCTTCGGATCGAACCCTTGCCACTTCGCTCTCCCTCTCCAATTCCGATCTCCGTCTGTTTGTTCCTCTTCTCTCGTGTACTTCGGTTGACTTTGCGGGGGGGAATGGGGGCAGGTGGAGGAGCACTACGGAGCGCAGGACCTGAGCGTCGTCGGGTACTACCAGGCCAATGAGCGATTCAATGACGAGCAGCTAAGCGGGGCTGCCAGGAAGATTGGCGATCACATCTTCCGTTACTTTCCTCGTGCCGCGTTACTCCTGGTGTGCCACTGAGGCCCTCTAGCTCCATTTTTGGTTCCGTTGCATGTATATTTTTGGACCAGCATTCTTATTTACTTTGGTTTCCATGTGCGCAGTTGAGCAATAATTATCTGGAAGCACTCCTTAAACGCAAGGTTAATATCCCGGTTGTGGAGGTAAATATCTTCTCTTCCGAATCTCGGATTCCAGGTCTAAAGTAGACAGCAGGGACTCACAATGTGGATAAAAAAATAAAATTTTATGCATAAATGGCGAAATATGGTCTCTGGATGGAGATGATGGATATGGTGCTTCAGCGTATGTTAGAGAAAATACGCACACGTACGTGGACTATATAGTTCTTTGAATTCAATTTTACGCTACAGTAATATATAGGTTGCTGGATTTTGTACATGGTATTACGGAGCCATTGAATTCTCATTCATTACGTCATGTGCCAAAGTCCAATCGTAGTTCCTGGTATAGCTCTCAATGTCCTTGGACCTTGAACTTAATTTCTATCAGAAAATTCTCCAGTCAAGTGCCGTTTATTTTCCAAAATTCCCTAAAAATGGAACTAAACGCCCACGCCTTGCCCTCCTAGCTTATCCAGATCACATCCGAAACACAAAGTAAGGAAATTATTCTGTATGGAATTAGTATGAATTTGGTCCATTGGGCGCTGCCAGGAAATTGGTGGTCAGATGTTCCTAGCATAAGCAAAACTCTGATTAGATTAATGAAGCTGGCAAATCAGGTGAACCTTAATTGCACTTTATGAGTATCTATGTGGGGATGTCAATGCTTCTCTGCACCTGTGGTCTGTTGATGTTTTCTACAGTATTGCTAATGTTTTTTCAGTTAAAGGTGCCTGGCAAAACTTTGGGGGTGGGTCGATCATCTTTAATACACTGTTTAACAGTTATCCCTGTTAAATTAGGAATATAAAATTCTGGGGTATTCTTCTTTTTCTCAATAAAGTGAGAACAGTACAACTTGAAATTTAGTTGTTGAAGAATCTGCCAGTTATTTCCAGAAAGCAGGAAGGAGCAAAAATCAGTGAGAAAAACTTTTATAAATCGGTGAACCACATGTTTCAAAGTCAGCTGTCGTTGTTCCCTTCATGCTCTCAACTAAAAATTAGGTAGCGAAATGTGATAAACCTGATGGCTGTGGGAAATCCAAACAGAGGATTGAATTATGGAGAAAGGAGAGTCAGTCAATTGGTATATGTCGAACTGGAAGAACTAGACTTTCTGAGCACTCAACAGGGAGGGGAATTTCTTGTGAGAGAGGTGTGACCTTTATTTAACAAAGGGCTCATGGAAGAAAAATGTCAACGGTCACAGTATCAACTGTATCTGAATTTGAGTGGCCTCGGATCTGAGGTAAGGAATCTATGCGCTGAAATGAAATAGATGATAGATATATATACATTGAATGGCATATTTAGATGGGCTATACACGTCTTCAAAAGGTTGTGTCAAGACTCTAGTGTTAGGCTAGGAAAAAGGTTATGTTGAGGCAGGGTCATCTTCAGGGTGGGCAAAATCAAAGTCTGTGAGCAATCAGGGGACATGAACTTCACACTATATGTGGGAAATATGCGAAGGCATGAGAGATTTTTTTGAGAAAAAATTCTCAATCCAAAGCTTAGACTGAGTGAAGATGTGACGAAGTCCTTGGTTGCTGTTATACTCTTCTACAATGTAACTGTACCACCCTTGTTCTCCTCAAGTTATGAGGGGCCTTGGGGCCTTAGAACCTATTTCAGTTGAAGGATTGGGGTGTGGTATCTTCTGAATGCCAAGAATATTTGATAAAGGAATATCCGGGCTGGTGTCATAACAAAGGAGAAGTTATCTAGCTAGATTCAAATAAAATTTACACTTGTAAGAATCTTTTCCTCAGGAGTAATATAGAAGTTTTCTCAGTAATTGCTGTTATACATTCTAGAATAGAGTGGCATTCCGGGGTGCTTTTCTTTTAAGGGATGTAATTGGATGGTATTCAGGACTTGATCGTTGATGATGTCTTGTGTATCTTTGAACCTCTGTAGGGAGTTTCCGCAGTTCATTTGTCTTAATGTCCTGCTGAACAAGTAGTGGGATCTTCCTTAAATCGTCAGCAAATAACGTTCGGCAGATATCATAGGAGCTTCTTAGAATGTAATTTCTATTTTTATAATTTTCAGCCTGTCTATGAGCAGTATGATGTCTGATCTTCCATAGCACATTAAGTCCCTCACATATTTGATGTGATTAAAATATTTGATGGAAATGATTAAAATATTCTTGCTCAACACAAAAAAAGACATATTAGATGTTGAATTCTTTTTTTGATGATCTCCCTTGGGGGTTCTTGTTAACGAATGTTTATTTAATGGTTTCGGTTCGAAGCTTTATTTTTTCATACTAGCCTTCTCCAACAAGCTCAACAGCTGCTATCACTATATATTCTCACGAAGAAGCTAATAATAGGCGTCCCTTTAATATTCGAACTCCGAATTCTTTTGTCCTTGTGGTCTTCTTTTCTAAATATCATTTGTTTGGGCTGAACATATTCATCGATTTCACCCTCAATAAGATTTTTTCTGAGCTGGGAATTCATCTATTATTCGTTTGCTTTGTCTAAATGGTAGTTAAATTTATTCTTGATCCAAAAAGTGTTATAAACCACTGAAATTTTATAACTGTAACATTTCCATTAAACCATCCTTCCAATGTTTCAAATTCTATCGTTTGCTGAAATTCTCTGGCATTGAAAATAGTTTTCCATTCTGGAGCCTCAGCAGAATAATTTGGGGACCACACGCCTGTTCATTCCCGTATCTATGTAGCTCTATCAATTTTCTTCCTGCAGATTCCTCTCCTACCAGAAATACCCATTTAGCAAGAGGATCTTCTTGAAAATTTTAATTTTAACTCCGCCAGTTCCTTTTGCTTGTTGCATAATTAATCTCACTCAGCCAAATGCCATCTTTTATTGGTTTATGAGCTTGATTCTAAAATAGAGTACTTACTTTGACCAAGGGCCTGAGGATTTGTTCACATCCTTGTGAATACTGCCTCCGTGACATCGACAGAGAATGGGTAGCTAACAGATACTGTATCTTCTAGGATTATCTTTCATTTCTGGCCTCTTCCCTCTTGTTTCTATATTCGTTTTGAAAATAATTATTGTCATAACCATATTCTCAATCATTTGATCTTTGATCTTAAATGAGTTATGTTTCATCTTCTTTTTCTTGATGGTAGACATTGCATGAAACTTAGTTATCTTTTTGGTCTCCTTTAAATTGGAAGTTTTTTTCTCTTTTGTCTGCATCCAATCTCTTTTCCTAGTGTCTATCTCTCCCGTATTATGTTTTCCATAAAAACTCCTGCGTCCGTATCAGTTTCCACCTAAATACCAATGTCTTAGATGCTATTCAACATTTATCTTTTGGCTTATCTGCTTTTTAAATCCCCCCTTTTTCCTTTATCCTTCAGACCCATCTCAGCTTTAAACAAAGAATTGGATTAGGTAACCAATTTTTGGTGCTACCACCCAAAACTTTTCAAGTGTTTCTTCTTTGCCAATGTCTTTATCAAAGTTATTTGAAACCTAAACTGTCTTGCTCTGTGTGATGTGGATGTGTGGACAACGACGAAGGCATGTGAACAGATGTATATATAACCTTTGACTTCAGCTGTTAAAAAACCCGTGACCCATCAATGAAAAGCAGAAATTTACACAGCCTCGAGTGGGCATTGTTCTTCTGAACATTTGGCTACATCAATTTTCTTCCAAGAAGATGTAGCTTTTTTGAGTTCCCATGTTGTATTGCATTGCTCGAAGAGATTCTCCTCCTTATTCCAGTTTTGATTCCCTTTCCTTTCCCAAGGGATTCTAAAACGTTTGAAGGCCCGTTTTCCCCAATAGACTCTTTGTTTGAATTCGTCTTCTATACGCGAAACTCTTCTCTAGTGTTAAAATTAAAGAACCTATCTTTTGCACAGTTTACTGTCACTCTGTACTTTCCTTTGTTAACATCGAATATTTTCAAATCTTGTTCATTACTTTGTACCAGTTGATCTTCTTATACTTCTCCGACTCTTTAACCATTGACTCTGCTTGCTCTCCATTGTATTAATAAGTGGATCGGATGTTTTACTCTATTTTTATTTGTCATAGACGAATAAGATGGATCCTGTGGATCAGTATTTGATCTGTCACCATTCCGACTTATTCATATTCCGTCCAAATTGTTGAGAATATGGATTGGATCAAGAAGACATCTGTATCTTCTTTTCAAAGCTTTCTTCGAGAAGAGGAATCACAATAACAGAAGATAGTATTGTGCCAAAGATCAGTGAAGAAGATGCATAAACGCTTATGCGGATCTTCTGAATAGAATAAATGGAAGATAATGTCTTTAATCTGAATGTCTTTTAGGACCTAATGATCTTTCTCTCGGTTTTATTCAGTGTTTATGAAACATTGAATTCGTGGATGTTGGGGAAGGATATGAAAAGAGGTTCTGTATTGTTCTCAACTCCATATTTATATGCCACTTATGTCGAAACTCAGGGGGGGGGGGGATGCAGAATTTACATATTTTAGTCGGCCACTTTCTTAAAATGGCTGCTGGACGAGTATAATGTGGTGTTTGGTATTCAGTTCTAGGGATTGAGAAATAGGGAAATACGCGTCAATATACTTTTACATCTTGCAGATGTATAATGGACATAATTCTGGTAAAGACACGATTCATCGTCAAGAAATCAAAGGAAAAGAAAAGCTAGGATGGTGGCCATTGACTGTTGGCGTAGTCTAGGATTGTGGAAAGAGAATAAATTACCTGGACAATTGCTCGTTCAGCAGTTTTCATGTCATTTTTATTTTTTATTTTCTTCTATTTATTTTTCCGCTAGATCCATTACTTGTTATTTTTTCTCAAACCCTGTGATTGGGATCTTCTTCCTCACATGAATTGGCCTGAGAAATCATCTCTAACAGCTGGATTTTGCTACCAAATGAGATATCCTCTCTCCCCTGGAAAGAGTATTTCAATGCTACAACCTTACTGAGATGTCCCATTCGTCGATAAACCTATTGAACCAAGCCTTTTGATTCCCCACAATCGATCTTCGTCACTTCCACATTTTCTCTACGAGCCTCGTTCAAGTAAAACCGGTTCAGCACATTTAGATGCTCAGTAGTTTCCTTTCCCTTTGTTTCTCTTCAGCTCAGTAGTTTTTTTTTTTTCATTATTTGTCTACGAATCTTGCCATTGAAACTATGCCCTTTGATGCCCACTGAAGCAGCAGATTTTTTGTTAATGTCCGTTCAATCATTCTCCCTGATCTTCTCATTTTCTCCATGGACCTTGCTCAAATGGTTTCATTGGCGCAGCTATACACAAGGAACTCGTCCAAAAGCTGGGAGAGAGCCGGACTCGGGTTAGAGCAGAGCACTGAGCTGACAATTAAAGAACCTTCCGCCTTCTCCATCCTGTTAGATTATATTTCCTCCGAGAAATGGCAAGAGATTGTGGACTTTGACGATCATCTCGACGACATCAGCAAGTAGGCTTCCCATTAACGTCCCCTCTCATTCAACCCGCCAAGGACATCATCAGATCATAACAAGTTCTTTGACGATGTTTTCTGCAGGGACTGGTTGAACTCCAACCTTTTCAAGTAGGGTTTTTGCCCGGCAGCTGGAGGTTGGGATTCTTGTTCTATTCTTCATCTTGAGCAGTCTCAGTCTCATTCTCAGTCTCAGTCTCAGTCTCAGTCTCAGTCTCAGTCTCAATCTCAATCTCAATCTCAATCTCAATCTCAATCTCGACCTCAATCTCAATCTCAACCCCAACCTCGATCTCAATCTCAATCTCAATCTCAATCTCAATCTCAATCTCAATCTCAGTCTGAAGCTCAATCTCAATCTCAATGTGGTTGGGCGGTGGAGAAGGGGAAGTCAGATGAATGATGGTGGTGGTATGGGGCGTTGGTAGGGGAGCATCTCACTGCATGTGGATCATTATGATTTTATGCTTAATCAGGAAACAAATCTTCTCACATTCTTTTACACTGCTCTTTTTCTTTTTTTCTTTTTTAAAACATTCTTATTTCGTTTCATGTGGTATTTGTGCTCTTCCATGTTAAATAGTTATTATCAATAAATAAGAAGCCTCTTACAAATATTATACAACATAATAATAATCGTAAATAACCCAATTTAATAGTATTTAGATCACAGCTAGAGTTCTTGAAGATTCCACTGCCCGGATTCCATAAACCAGTAGATTTATTATGGATTTATGTAGTCATACAACTTAATAATAATCGGAAAGAACCCAATTTAATAGTGTTTATATCACAGCTGGAGATCTTTTGATGATTTTACTATCCGGATTCCATAAACCAGCAGCAAATTTATTATGGATTCATGTAATCATACAACTCAATAATAACCGTAAAGAACCCAATTAAATAGTGTTTAGATCACAGGTAGAGTTCTTGAAGATTCTAGTGCCTGGATTCCATAAACCAAGTTGTGGTGTATTTATTATGGATCTCGATCACCCAGAGAAGGCCCAAGTTCTATGGATCTCATCTACACGGTAGCATGAGTAATGGCTGGCGACGAGGACTGAACGAACACGGCTACTAGAAAATTTAATGAGATATATAGGATGCCTTAATCGCTACTAGTTAGATGTCTCCCGTTAAGCATCATCCACATCTAAAAGGCCCAAAGATGGTGTAGAACAGAATCATATGAAATGTGTAGCTGAGAAGGCCGAAAGTAGTAAAAAAATTTGTTCAGAGCACAAGAATTGCAGCAGCACAAAAAGGCCCAATAAAAGTGATTTTTTTGTGGCCCAAGTCACTAATGTTCTGGGCCTCATCGCCTTTAGTGGCCCAATAAACAGGGTAGGGTAGGGCAGGGTATGGTCTAATCTTCAGTCAGTAGGTTCATAATTTTTACCTTAGAACTGGAACGCCTTTTCCACTCAATCACTATTTTATTTCATTCTCCTGATCCTCATGGATTGAAGGATTCCCAGTCTCTTTCCATGCGGATTGATTCAACGCTCCAGCCTTTTTTTCTGGGCTTCCGCTATGTTGTTATATATGGAAAGAGATCAGACGGCTGACAAGGCCGCGGATATTGGAAGGGAGGAGGGGAGGAGAGCACAATAGTCTTGAAGAGAAGTCAAAGTCAAAGTCAAAGTCAAAGGGATCTTGCGTAGGATCGGTACAATGCAACTGGTAAAAAAAAGGCAACAAACTGAAGATAATTGTGGGTATGATTTAGAGATTTACTTGGGTAAGTTTTCATTGAAGTCTTCTTACGGTTTCCCCTCACTCTATTTACTTCTAGGTTTCAAACCCTAAACCCTCTTCAGGGTTGCTCCGGGCCTGCTCAAGATTGCAGAGATCAGAGAAATGAGTAGTCAGGTCCTTCTCTCTCTCTCTCTCTCTCTCTCTCTATTTTCCCATTCAAGAAGACAATGACGACCAAATGATTATGGAGTTTAGTGAAAGGAGGCTCCCTGTGGACCAGGAACTTCTGTGGACCAGGAAACACTAAGATCATATTGCAGTCAGGTCACTCAGTTTCTGAAAAAGGATATATGAGATTTATAATATGGCTCCCGGGCAAAATGTACAGAGGGTACAGAGGGTTCCATCTTCTGATTCGGCCAAAAGCATGCTTAAGAGGTGAATCTGGCAGTTTTGCTGAATATTTGATGATGAATTCTGCACCCTTAGTTCAAACGCTGGTCCTTGCTTACAATTACCCACTCGCCTACAACAGTCTAAGTCTCTTGAGACGTTCCTCAAAGAACCAAGTTCATCAAAATTTTGTGAAGAACTGAGAAAGAGATCTTGGCCTAATTGGAAGGAAAAAAATTCGTGGAAAACATTTGAAAGTTAGTCCAATTTGTTTATTTAGGGCGGAGAGAGATGATAAATTTGCACAATAAGTCAATCCGACAAGAAAGACTGTTAGTCCACCAATGGCTCATGTAACCTTGGCATAATCAGATTTGCCAACCAAATAGCAGAAAGATGCCAATTACCCAGTGAAATCAGCTGGAGGAATCAAGACGACGATGGATTAAAAATATATTTGCCACCAGCATCCGCAGGAAAACCATTTTAGAATTCATCAGATTATTCATCTAGAATTTCTCATCACCAAGACGACTTGAAAAAGATAATCTAATTAAGTGAAAGTTTTGCATTTATGATCACAAAAGAATGAGCAAGTTGTTCTCATCTCCTGCAAAATTCAAGTATTCTGCATGAGCAAAATATCAAAGAAAAGTAATTTTCTGGAGATGTTTGATGGACAACAAATGTTCAGCTCAGACTGCAACACAAGTTTGAGAATATCAGGCCTACAGAAATAAAGGATATCACAGAAGGAAGCCAGGCCACCCTCCAAGTTTTCCCAATATTTATTCCACAATACAGTCATTTGCACCTACAGATCAAGGAGATATATGAGCAACATGAGCAAGAGAGCTGATGCTGGTCACGCATACAAAATAGTGGCAGTTGAGATAAACTAATGCCATCAAACAAATAAACAAGGCAAAGTGATAACAACTGACTGTGGTCGAATGACTCATGCAACAGCAGCTTCCAGCAACTCTTTCTGTGCACGTTCCCGGATCCTCTTCTCTAATTCTGGCCTAAAATGCCTGATCAGCCCTTGCACTGGCCATGCAGCTGCATCTCCTAATGCACAAATTGTATGGCCTTCGATCTGCTTGGTGACCTCCTGAAGCATATCAATCTCCTCAAGCTTTGCATTACCCACCTTCAGCCTCTCCATGATCATCCACAGCCATCCGGTTCCCTCTCTGCATGGAGTGCACTGCCCACAGCTCTCATGTTTGTAAAAGTAAGAAAGTCTTGCGATTGCATCCACCACATCCGTGGATTTATCCATCACAATGACAGCAGCAGTCCCCAACCCTGACTGCACGGCCTTCAATGCATCATAGTCCATTAACACATCATCACATATCTGTTTGGGTAAGAGAGGAACAGAAGATCCTCCTGGTATAACCGCCAGCAGATTGTCCCACCCACCTCTAACCCCTCCACAGTGCCTCTCTATCAACTCTTTCAACGGAATACTCATCTCCTCTTCCACAGTGCAAGGCTTGTTTACATGGCCGGAAATACAAAATAGCTTCGTCCCTGAATTATTCTTCCGGCCAAAACTAGAAAACCATTCAGGTCCCCTCCTTAGAATTGTAGGAGACACGGCCACAGTTTCCACATTCGTGACTGTCGTTGGGCAACCATATAAGCCAGAGTTAGCAGGAAAAGGGGGCTTCAGCCTTGGTTTCCCTTGCTTCCCTTCAAGGCTCTCCAGCAGTGCTGTTTCTTCACCGCAGATATAGGCACCAGCACCATAGTGAATGTGCACATCAAAGTCGTACCCAGATCCACATGCATTCTTCCCAAGAAGGCCGGCTTTGTAAGCTTCCTTTCTGGCCTTCTCAAGATTTAATCGCTCATTTACATACTCACCCCTAATGTAGATGTAAGCTGCCGTTGCACGCATCCCAACGCCTGCGATTAGGCAACCCTCAAGCAGCTTGTGTGGGTCATGGCGCATGATTTCTCTGTCTTTGCAGGTTCCCGGTTCACTCTCGTCAGCATTGACCACAAGATAAGATGGGCGCCCATCAGAAACCTTGGGCATAAATGACCACTTCAGACCAGATGGAAAGCCAGCACCACCACGGCCACGGAGACCGGACTTCTTCATTTCATTGACAATCCAGTCAGCACCTTTCAGCACCAGATCCTTGGTTCTGTGCCAGTCACCACGTTTCATAGCACCTTTGAGGAAAGGATCATGCATGCCATATAGGTTGGTGAAAATGCGATCCTCATCTTTCAGGCCCCCAAAGTGCGTTTTCTCAGGAGGCGGTGGTGGGGGCGGAGGCTGAGGGCTTCCTGGAGCTGCAGCCTGAGAGCTGAATGATCTGGAAGCAGAACCTGGTGAATGAAGGTAACGCTGACAAACCAGAGAAGCTCTAGGAAGAGACAGAATCTTCCTGATGGAACCCTACAAAGAGGAGTAAGTGTTTGAATTAGAAGCGTAATCCTGTATAAAATAGATGCTCCGTTTCTCTGTTGAAGTGCATCTCTCTTACACAGATAGAACTTTGATAGAAAAATGATAGTGCCAAGAGAAAATTTCCTGACAAACGTCCCACAATACCAGCTTCTTAAATGATAATTCACTCATTTTACAGCATCTCATGCTATTAGCATGAATTCGATGCCAAGTAGAATAATGCAATCCACCATACTAGCAATATTAAACGACCAAAAATCAAGTCAACTAGGATATTCGCAAACGATGTTAGGACATCTAAAAATCACCACGAAATAAGTATTCTAGCGAAATTTTAGGCAGATGTCGCAGATGAATCTAAAAGCCGTTCAAAAGTAAAAATGCGATAACCGGACAGAGACCCTACCAAGGAGGATACGAACCTTGCGGATTCAATTCTCTTAGGAAATTACGCCCACGATGGAACATCAGTGTTTTTTTGGATTAAGAACAACTTTAAGAGAAGGGATATGGGGGGAGAGAAAGGTGAATTAATCCATCGCGCAGAAGGAGAAACCACGAACGATCAGATTTCCAAGACCTAATGCTGGAAAAGATCACACTACATGACCTCCAAGAACCAAAAAAAAGCCAGAGTCCTTGCCAAACAAGATCACCTCGAACCCTCGCCCAACGAAATCCCCAACTTTCAGAACCAACAACCAGCAGGATTCCTCCCAGAACCAAACAAAAGCCAATGGTTGACAAAGAGATCGAGAAAATCAGAGAGAAATAGGGAACAAACCATGCTGCTGCTCCGATCCTCGCCTGTTCTGCCGCCGGCGAAGGAGAGTGCCGATATATTTAGAGAGAGAGAGAGAGAGACGGCGACGGTAATGACGTGCGGATTTTGCAGCCAACTGTGATGATCGGAGATTACAACTGTCTGATTGCTAGGTTCCTATCTTAACCGTCTAATGTATAGACCTCTAGAGCGAACCCTTCTCGTTGATCTGGGCCGTCCCTTGACTGACGATCCCGATATGATCCAACGGTAGAGAGAGGTGATATTTTCGTAATTTCATTCTCATCCTGGCCGACGAGTTGGGAACAAAAGAAACCCTAACCCAGTGTTAGGCTTTCTTCGTCTCCACTCGCGCCTGACTGCCGCCGGCGTCACAGCTCCCGCAGCCATGGTCAGTTCTCCTTCCCCGGCCGTTCTCTTCGTCGTCCCTTTTTCTTCTCCTCTTCTCTGGTTCTTGATGTTTCTGCGATCTGCGGCATGATTTAATCCTTGGGGAGGTAGCTTTCTTCTCTTTGTTTTTCTTTCCGGTTCGATTGGGTAGGGCGAGAAATGTGGACGGCCGTGTTCTACGGATGTAACTGATGTTTTTCTCAGATATGTTAGTTTTTCTCTCCGGATTGGTGTCGGAAGGCTCGCGATGGGTAACTGGCTCTAGAAATGAATTCGAGATCCTATTCTCTGTGAGGTTTTACAGGCGCGCTTTCAGGGACGTAAGGCGAGTGCATGGTATATGGTCTTCGTGAATTAGCTTAGACTGAAGGATCTTTCAGGTGGTTCAGAAGAGTAACACTGGGAGGAAAATCGCGAAAACTTCCGTGTATAGTTGTCAGTTTGATGGTTGCATCAATATCTTTAGATTTTTTTTCAAACCTCGCGATGCAGAGGCGTTTTGCTGAAAAAAAGTAATTTACAAAAGCAGAACGTTTTGGTTTCTATATCCTGATTGACTACCTGATTGTTATTCTTAGCTGTGGATGGAGAGTTTGGCCATCAGCCTTCAATTTTTACCTGATACGGCGGGCTATTCAGGCCCAGATAATTGATGGGAAGAAATTATCTCATGTTCGGTTTTATTTGGATTCCAAGGGAACCATTATCTGCTCGTAGTCGATTGTCAGTAGCGGACGTTTCATTTTCGGGCGACTCTGGCATTCCCTTTGTTCTTGTGTGCTTATTTTTTGCCAAGTCTCTCGATGTAATGTGGCTTAAATGCATCTCAAAATGCTCCTAGCTTATTTCTTCATTCCTCTTGCGGCATGCGTTTAAGCAGTTCATGCGCATGAGAAGCTCAAGGATGATACTGACTATTGAGCCACCCTCTACACAATTTACAACACTCCTTGAAGATTTTATCGTTCGGATCTAGAAAAAAATAATGGCAGCTTTGCACTGACTTGTGGTAACCAGATAAGGTCACATTTTATTTTTTTGGATATCCAGTCTCAAATCCAGTTTGCAGGCATTGGATCACTTCTTTTTCGTTTTGATTTCTGGGGGCTAATGTTCTTTTGCCAATGTGTCCAAGTGAAAAAAAGAAGAAAAGAAGGGATGGACAGGAGAATGAGTCTTTGGGTGAAGGGTATGCTTCCTCTTCTAGTTCAAGCTAAGTCCTCAATGGAAAATCCCCCAGCATAATCCAAATAATCCCCCAAAAATTCAATAGACGTTCATCCTCTTCCTCTGGCGAGATTCTTGAATAAGTCATCTCAAGGATCTTTCTATGTTTCCTTGCTATGCTTGTGAAGTTTCTTGCTTGCCCTAGAGCGCAGCGCTTAATAATCTTTCCTCAGCTACTAGTACCATCTCCTCAGTTCATCTGTCGGCAGTCACCAGATTGAAACCACCCATCTTCTCTCTACACTATTTATTAGGTGAACGTTCCGAAGACGAAGAAGACCTACTGCAAGCACTGCAAGAAGCATAACTTGCACAAGGTGACGCAGTACAAGAAGGGCAAGGACAGTCTCTCTGTCCAGGGGAAGCGCCGTTATGACCGGAAGCAGTCCGGCTATGGAGGTCAGACCAAGCCCGTCTTTCACAAGAAGGTAAAGGCTCCCCCTCCCCTCTCCGAATCTCTCTTTTTTTTTTTTTTTTTTTTATTTATTTCTTATCGATGGTTAATGCAAGAACAAGGCTGTTGAATGAGTTGATTCCATTCGGTTCTTTCTGAGGGAGAATTTTCTTTGGGTTTTTCGATGTAAAAGTGAAAATTGTGACGAAATTTCTTCGCGCCATGCTCGGCAGGCGAAAACCACCAAGAAGATCGTGCTGAAGCTGCAATGCCAGGGCTGCAAGCACTACTCTCAGCACGCCATCAAGGTCTCTCTCTCTCTCATACCCTCTCTCTCTCTCTATCTGCCCCTCCCTCTCCTGGTCCTCATATTCAATCTCTCTCTCTCTCTCTACTTGCAGAGGTGCAAGCACTTTGAGATCGGCGGAGACAAGAAGGGGAAGGGAACGTCGCTGTTCTAGTTAGTTGGCCTGCTGCTCTGCCACCAATCTCTTTTTCCTTCTCCATGGACTGCAGCCTCGCATCTTCCATCGTCCTGCCGAGTCGATTCTACTCTGTTCTTGCTTTATTATTATTACGTGGGTAGCTTTGGGACCTCCTCTACTTCTCTCTTCGAGTTTTGATGTAGCGCGCTGCCATGGCATTTGGGTCTCTTTTCCAGTTGCAGCTCTCCGTTCATTCATATAAACGCCTCCTCCGTCTTCCTTTCACGAACCGGAGGGAGAAGATATAAGATGGAGAAGAACAGGCGGCGGCCTTTGAAAGCCTAACCAATTGGTGGGCTTCATCTTTGAGGCCCGTTTAAGGGGAAAGCCCGTGGATGGGCTTCGGCTCATTCCGTTTTGAGAGAGAGAGAGAGAGAGAGAGAGAGAGAGAGAGAGAGAGAGAGAGAGAGAGAGAGGGATGCCGGGCCGAGCCCAGTCTTATTTTCGGGGACGGAAAAAGAAATCGTCCAACCCCAAGCCCAGTGAGGTGGTGTAAGATAATTAGTTGACGGCTAGTGACGTTGACTTTGATGCTCATTAGGGGGGGAAGGCGCCCAATCGTGTTCGGGCAAGTGTATACTTTTAATAGACCCATTTCTGTCGCCTTGATAATCGAAGCACACAAGAAGAAATATCTTCGAACATTATTATTAAATAATTCTCCAAGATGGTAAATATGACACCGATAGAGGGAGGGGGAGAGAGAGAGAGAGAGAGAAACGGCCAACTGGCGACGCCTGGGCTATCCAGCCAGCCGTCGTCGCCGAGCCGGGGAAGGGGACAGAGGAGACGACAACCAAAGACTTCTATAATGGAGAAGAGAACAAATGGGAATCAGACCGAACAGAAGGGGTCCAAATCAAATCGGAAAGCTCTCTTATTCTCTCACTCATGCTACCTCCCTCTCTCTCTAAGATCACCACCACCCGCTTCCCCACCTCTCTCTCTCTCTCTCTCTCTCTCTCTAAATAAATAAATACTCTGTAGATTATGACATCCCTCATCTTATTGCCATTATTGATATCTATCTATCTATCTACAGCACCGAGCTCTGGAGAGCCAAAGAGCACACCACTTGACGAGTTCTCTCCTCCCCCGCCCCACCAAACACTTGTTCTTCTTCCATCTCTCACTGCTTAGCCTGCAATGGCAACAAGGGAGGAAAAACCCGGAGATAAAATTAAATGGTTGGTTCTTGGAATCCAAAAATCTTCACCATTCGTGCCAAATAAATAAATAAATCAATAAATCTCCATATTTTGTGAAGCGGTACCATTCATTCTACATTGAAGACGATCAGGACCTTTTCTGAAGAACAACAAAAAACGGCTACAATATCAGAATCAAATACCGATTCTATGTGATTCCTTTCCAACATTCAATAATAAAAAACAAAACCCTAAAGACGGTGCTGAAGAAATTGGGGACTGTGTGGAGAGGAATCCACGCATGATAATATTATGGATTCTTAGCATTATTTTCCTTTAAAAATTACAACCCCAATGATATTACTAACTATATTTTCAAGAAAATGCGAAGCACCCACAGTAAGCAAACATCCAACATGGCTTTCATCTCCAATCATGGAACATATATAGAGTTCTGATAGTACGTATCAATCAAGTAAGCATTATAACACTAGGTGGCAGATGAACAGCTGTTCTTCGTCTGTGACTGAATTTGAGATGATAATCTCATCAAAATTATGCTTGCATAGTAGTATGTTTGACCCCTTTCGTCAGATGGGCATCATTGGAACCTGATCAATAATCGCCCCAATACAGATTTTTTTTTTCAAGATCTGTGACCATGGAAATGGTTGTTTCTTGAGGGAGTGGACGCAGGGCTTACGTGTGTAATTCGAGGTCAAACCTTTCTAAAAATTTGTAATTCAACGGTTCAGATTGATATAGAACAAAACTCTTTCACGGCTTACTGGTTTTTTCACTGTTATAAGCATCGAATAATCTCAGAATCCTTGGCTTAAAACTTTCAAACAGGGTGAGAATAACTAGCCATCGCGACTAAACCATTTGGGGCAACCTATTTATGGTTTCTTGAGAGGCTTTTTTTTTTCTGTCTTTGTAATGAACTGATTGATTAATGAATTGATCACAGGATGTTGCCTAGATTCCAAATAAGATGCTCCCCTGTAAGTGCAATTTAGATGTATCTATAGAATAAAAAATAAAATAATAAATAACATATACAAGTAAAGATATCTTAGACTCCAGCAACACTTATTGAACCCTGAGTACTTGGATTGGTATACTGAGACAGAGAGAAGGATAAGATGAGATCACCTGTGAGTAGAGGAACGTCCCAAGGATTGCAATGGCGGCACCAAGAGCATTGATTGGCTGAACAGGTGTATGGAAGATGATGATGGAAGAGACAATGACAGATATCCGCTTCATAGTGTTACCGATGCTGAACGTTAATGGAGAGATCTCATCCAAGGACATGTAGGAGACTTGGTTGTACAAGTGGTAGAACACGCTCTGGGCTGCTACCCACCTGAACAGACAAATCCATGTCCCATGTCACATTCTCTCGTCAGTCAAAGACCAGAGATATAATAAGAAAACGTAAAAAGAAGTGATGGATTAATAGACACGTCAAACTGAAATAGGGTTAAAAAATATACGCGCAAGGAGAAAGAGCAAGGAATCTCCAGAAAAACAAGAAGAATTAAAACGCCCATGAGGGAAAAAGCAAAGAGATTGACGTCTAATTTGGTTCGATATGTGTTGACCCAAAAAGAATCTGATGCGTTTGATAAGTATACAAAACCCACATATCTGATGCGTTCGATATGTGGGTTTATAGTTTGTCCTTTGACGAAACGTGGTGTGGCTCTCCAGAACCGAGATTTTAGGGGAAATCCAGTGGGTACTGGCTTCTAATCAATTTTCCAGGAACTAGGCACAGTTTTAGTTCATCAATGGTATAGAAGAGAGCGAGGAGTAGAAATGGGAAGCAAATGGCCAGTTTTCCATCATGTAGTTAATTTAAATTAGCCTCACAAAGACTATATTTTTCATCTTTCAAGCCCAAGTAAGTTTCCCCATCACAATCCTGAACACATATTTCCTCTTTTCTAACAACGGGGGATCAAAGAGGAGCATAGTAGCAACTTTTCCATCGAGTTAATCGTCAATGGCATCCCGGGAAAAACATGTGAGAAATGGGGTTCTTTTGGGCTCTTTTGATGAAATGGGGTTACTACTTACCAGACAAAATGGGGACCGATGTCAGCAAGGGCTTTACGCCAACCAGCGGCCCACAATTGCGGCCCTTCAACGGCCACTGCGAATGGTGTCAGAATCACGAGGGACAACATCGACAAGCAGGCATAGTAGTTCATCCCGCTGACCGACTTCCCTTTCATCCCTCTCTTTGAAAATATGTTCCGGAATACGAATGCAAGGTTTGAGATCATTGCCCCCATAAAACCTGTAATCAGAGAAAACACAGATGATGGAGAGCGTATGAGCCGGAGAATTCAACATGAATGTCGAGAAACTGGAAATCGACTGGGCTCAAAACTCATTTTCTCACCCGTCATGTTGAAGTTGAGCTCTGTGAGTGCCGCTAGACCACAACCCCCAATGATCGGGACGAGGGAGAGGTACACAGACGGCGGGAAAGTCTCCCCCAACAGGAACCTCGAGACCAGCACGCTGAAAGCGGGCTCCCCGCTCTTGATGATGTGCGTGAATGACACGGCCACCTTCGACATGCTCACTGTCGCCGCTACGTGCCCGATCGTGTGCGCCACTGCTACCTGAACAGCAAGGAATTCCCAGAAGGCGTTCAGAGGCAAGAGCGGGTGGGGAAACGCTCGAAATAACCCACAATCGAGCCATCCAAGCAACTCACCGGGAATAGAGCCTTCCAGAAGTCGAGGTCGACCTTGGGGGCCTCTGCGATCCGCGTGGCCCAGGAGACGAGCATCATTAGGGAGCCGGTCGCCAAGGAGAGAGTAGAGGTCAGCCATGGGAAGGGATACGCGTTGAGGACCTTCTTGTTGTAGATGTTGAATACCACATTCAGCGCCCACCAAGTCGCGAAGTAGATCCCGATCTTCACCTTCTTCGCCGCCTCCGCACTAGCGGCCGCCTCCTGTGACTGCCCCTCCCCGCCGAACCCCTCCGACCGGTCTGCCTCGTAAGCCCCCACAAACACATCGTCCCTCCGCCGCCTCGCGGCAGCGGAGGGCAAATCGAGGGCGGCGCCGCCTAGACGGAAGCCGAGCCCGTCGACAGAGGAGATACGCAGAGGCCTGTGGGAGTTGACACCAGGAAGCGTGGCGGATACCGGCCCTCGCCGTGACGGCTGCCACCGCGACCGCACCAGGTCCGACGAAGCGGCTAAGCCCGAGGCCGCCGCGTGCTTCGCGGCGCAGATCATCACGTAGAGCTCGGGCAATTCTGCCCTCGATGATGGGCGGGCGCAGGCGAAACCCTAGCACAGAGAAAGACAGAAAGAGAGAGAGAGACAGACAGGGAGAGAGAGAAAGAGAGAAACAGAGAAAGAGAGAAACGGAACCATCGACTTCTGGGGTAGGAGGCAGCCAGTATTTATATATCGTCTGTGGAAGGCAGCGGAAGGGTAGGTGACCCGTACTTCGCCATGGGTTCTTCTTGCCACGTGGCAAACTCGGAGGTACGGCTGTTAATGGTCCGAGCGAACCCCAATCCGCCCCGGCCCGGATACCTTTTTCGGACTCCAAAATATATTTGAATTTTAAAAATAAAAAATACCCAATCCTACCTGTTCCACTCTCTCTTTCTCTCTCTCTCTCGCCACGTGGCTGTGTGAGTCTGTTCTGGAAGCTTTCTTCAGGCCGAGGCCTTTAAGAAATGGCCTGCCCCAGGCCCGTAGTCCTCATCCTGGGCCGGCCCGGAGACGGGTCAATGCCTGGACAGAAATATCTCCCGTCAATCGCTGACGGCGGGATGGTCAACGGCCGCTGAGTTGCCGTCGTCGTCTGGGATATACGTCAGCGTTCGTCTTCGTGTTCGCACGTGATTGGCTAAGCATCCTCGATAACATCGATATATGTTGAGGGAATGGGCCGGGCTTTTCATTTCGGACCTGGCCCGTTTCTAGGATTTCATTAAAGCGCCGGTCTCCCTGTCCCGAGGGTAAGGGCTTTGTGTTCGTTATAATTATAAAAAACTTCCTCTTTGCTGAATACTATATACCGTGGGCCCATTTATGGGCTTTCGGGCCCGACCCGTTTCTATTTGAACTATCGGGCACGAGGACCGTGGATTATTTCACAGGGGGAGCTGCAGACAGGAGGGAAGAGAAAAATGAAGCATTCAGAAGTCTCTTCTCTAAAGAAAAGCAACAAGACAGAACGTCAATGGAGTTCAGTCCCTAACACAGAGATCACCATGACAGAGACGAAGAACATGAAGCTCCACACAGCTAGAGAGAGATAGATTAATCGATAGAGAGGGAGGGAGGGAGGGTGGGGGAGAGAGAGAGAGAGAGAGAGAGAGAGAGAGAGAGAGAGAGAGATGACTAACATCTAGTTATCTAGGAGAAGGGGGGGAGGCTCAAAATCCCTCTTCAGGGAAGGGAGGGAGCCTCCGAACTGGGAAAGAATCTTCCTCTCCTCAGAATTCTTGAGTTGAAGGTGCGGAAGAGGGGGGAAGTCAATGCCCGAACCAGTGCCGACGCCGCGGAGGAGGTATGAAAGCCCTTCAACACCTCCCCGTTGAGAAAGCTTAGGTGCGTTCTTGACTTCCCACAAACCCTAGATTTCCATCCACCCTCCCCCCCCCCTGAGAACACAGACATCGCCCAAAGTCAACGCCTCGGGCCCTGTTCAGAGCTTGTGGGTAGTGGGGTTTGGGATCGTTCTAAAGACTTACCCTCGTGTAGGCGGCGCTAGAGTTTCACTGGGCGCCCTCGCCCAGGACGTTGCCCTTGATCCTGTCGACGGTGCAGGAGATGAGGCTGTTGACGGTAGCGACGGAGCCAAGAGAGAGCTTCGCATTGGGCTGGGAGTCAACGAGGATCTGGAAGGCGACGGTGAGCAGGGCGCCGCCGGTACCGCCGTGGCCGGCGGCGTCCTCCGGTGATGTCGGTGGGCCGTCGGGGAGGATGGCGAACCCCGACGGGAGGAGCGTCACGTAGTCCGGGTTCCCCCCTCCGAGGACCACATTCATGGCCACCAGGTCAACGGGGGCGTAGATCACGTAGGAGCCCGCGGCGTCGGTGCAGCTCTCTTGCAGGATCAGCATGTTGCTTTGGTTCGAGTTGGTGCTCTGCAGAAACCCAGGAACCAGGAGGGTCATCAGCATGTTCCGCCACGATCATCTTCAAAGAACAGCACAGAGAAGGAGTAGGGGGTGGGGGGCTCACGTTGACGCGGAGGAGGGAGACGCAGTTGCCCTCGTCCCGGCCATTGGCGATATGAGCCATCTCCTGAACGATTCCTCCGTTGGAGAGGATGTCCCACTAATTTCCGCAGAAATCAGAGCACCAGGTAAGAGACGGTGGGCCATCTGAAAACCCTAATCTTGGGGAGGAAGACGAATGAGGAAGGAGTTATTTACCACGCTGCGGGTGTTCTCGTCGCGGAGGAAGTCGAAGACCCGCTTGGGGGGGACGGGTAGCCAGAAGGAGGTGGCGGCGCTGAGGACGATCCCCGGTGGACGACCGGGCTCGTTGACGCTCTTCTTGGTCATTACTCTCACGTCCTCTGCGCAGGCGCCGGAGAGGGTGGTCCACTGGTGTGCAGCGGAGGCGCTCACGCCGGAGCAGAAACTCACCACCATCCTCTCCGCCAGTTTCAGCATGCTCTTCCTCCCCTCCTGCGACGTTATCACTGCCCATTCCCCAACCAGAACAGTCTCCACTTTCATCATCACTATCACAGTTATATATATATATATATGTATATATATATATGTATATATATATAAAGAGAGAGAGAGAGAGAGAGAGAGAGAGAGAGAGAGAGAGAGAGAGAGAGAGAGAGGAGGGGTTACCGCTGATCTCGCCGGTGGGGACGTTGGTGGCCATGACGCTGGCGAGGCGCTCACACTGGCGGTCGAGAGTGGAGACCCAGCGCTTGGCGCCGAAGGCCATTCCAGAGTTAACCAGGGGGCGGTACATGCTGTGGACGGTCCGATCGTCCACTTCCACGTGCTCGATCCACGTCACCTGGATGGGGGGAGATGGGTGGCAGGAGGGAGGGTCAACGACCTAATCGTATAGTGAGAGAAAGTGGCGGGAAAAGTGGTGGGCTTCTTCTCCTTCACCTTGGAGAAGCCGTTGGGGGTCTCCTGTATCAGGCAGCCGGAGGCCCGCCGGCGGCAACGGAGGCCCGGAGTGGGGCTGAGGCTATCCAGGGAGACGTCCACCACCGCCCACACGCCGTCTCCATGCTGCTTGCAGTACCTCAGGAAGTAGCTCTCTCTTGTCGGAACAAGAGGGGAGGGCATCTGAAACTCCGCCGTCATCTGCAGTGCAGAGGATTGAGACCGATGTCTGATTGAGAGAGAGAGAGAGAGAGAGAGAGAGAGAGATAGAGAGAGAGGGGGGGGGGGTTCAGTACCACTTGAAGAGCTCCGTTGTAGTTTCCGGCAACACCGGTGGACAGCACCTCCAAGGTCGCGGCCCTGGAGACGATGCTTGAGAAGATCATCGACCACTGGTTCTGGAGATTCAATGAAGATGGATCAGAAACGCGCGCATTATATCGGAGGAGCAACAGGACGGAGAGGAGAAGATCTGCTCTGATCGGAGAGATTTATGTACCACGTCCATTATGATTTCCACGAGATTGACGTTATTCATGATGACGATGGCGTTGTGGCGGGAGGCCTCGGTCTTGAAGCCGACGGGGCGGGGACCGATGCCCCTGGGGAAGGTCCGGAAATACTCGTCGACGTTGAGGACCTCTGGGCCGGCGGCTTCGAGGGAAGGCATCCACAGAGGCTCGCCGGCGTGAGCCATCCTGGTGAGCTCCTCCATGGCTGCGACGGCGAGCTCCACCACCGCCGGCTTGTCGACGGGGAACTCGTTGGGGAGGGAGGCGGAGCGGAGCATCTCGCTCGCTCCGAAGGCGCCGTGTCCCGCCATGGCCGGCGGCAGCCCGAGGTTCCCGGCGGCGAGGTCCAGCGACGAGCGAGGGGCCACCTGAGGAGTCATCAGCGGGTAGGATCCCACCGGCTTGCCCACGTACTTCGCCGCAATTCCCGATATCCTGTCGATCTGCAAGCGAGAAATAGATTAGATGGCTACCGAGAGAGACAGAGGAATGGTGAGGGTGAGGGTGAGGGAAGGGGGAGGAGAGGGTTTTACCTCCTCTCTAAGGCGGACGTTCTCGATCCTCAGCTGCTGCTCGTCGAAGGACATCTCTCCGATGGCGGTCGGGCCGCCGCAGTTAGGGCAGGAGGCGTTGCTGAGGGCCTCCTTGTACCTCATGTTCTCGGCTCGGAGCTTGTCGTTCTCGGACCTCAGCTGCTGGTTCTCCTGGCGCTCGTGCTGGTTCTGCAGAGCAGGTGCAACTCATCCTCAGCAAACGACAGGAGAAAGACCAGAAGAGATAGAGAGATGGATAGGTACATAGGGGGACAGATAGAGGCTTGATAGAGAAAGGACATAGCCAGAAACCGAGAGATTCTTTTTATGCATGTTTTTCAGAAAATTTTGGATATATCTTCGGCCGCTTAAGTGAGCCCTCGGCATTAACTCCGAATGCAAGGTACTATTTATCTTCCGCAGCATTCTAGTGAGAGAAACTGCAAACTACATGATTTTTGTGCTTCTTCTTTCATTTTATATCAGTTGAGATGCTCGAGTTTAGGGGTTTCCCTAACCTTCATCTGGGTTCGCTTGTTCTGGAACCAGAACTTCACTTGGAGGGGCTCCAGCCCGAGCTCCCGGCTGAGCTCCTTCCTCTGCTTGTCATCCGGATGAGGACACTCCTTGAAGAAGCTGAAGCCGAGAAGAGAGAGAAACGTCGATCAGTTCAACAAGTACAGGCGACAAATCTACGGGAAGGGGAGTACGACGGAAATTTGAGGGAGGCCTGAGCTTGAAAATCATGCATCGATGAAAGAACGAGGAAGAAGAAATGAGTGCAATCTTGAGACAAAAGCGGAGAAAGTCTCCAATGGAAGAAAAATACAAGAAGCGAGCCGAGAGAGATCAAAGCTTGGAGGCCATCTGTCACTCAAGAAAGACGACAGCATGATGAAAATTGAAGCATTAAAGAGCAAATCTGCGATATTAAGCATAAGACTCACGCCGGGGAGAGGGAGGGAAGGGGAGAGAGAGAGAGAGAGAGAGAGAGGGTAATGATGAATCGAAAGTAACGGACGAAATGGGTACCATCCGACTACTAAATGCTACGAAGTGCAGGAAAATACGGACCGAAAATCAAAGAGGATAAAAAGATGCATTTGAGAGAAATCTACGATAACATGTAACAAGTGGCCCAAAAAGGGAAGATCACTGCCTGGAAGTGGTCTCTAAGATTAAAATAAAAGGAATTGCTACTTTACGAAGAAAATCTAGAATTTCTGGTTCAATAAGTTACCGTCAGCGGGACAACTTAGACAATGGGTGCAATGGCATACTGACTGTTGGAAAATATGGATTTTCAGGCACAGATTGTGATCCAAGAGTGGTCAAAGTATCGAAAAGATTAATCAGCGCAAAAAGTAGACGAAATGCGTAGAGTGCGAAAACGGGCCGCAACAAAATACACCGTGTAGAATGCAAATTACGGAAAATAAATCAAAGAGAAGATTAATATAACCGAGAAGATAAGAAATGCAGGAATGGTTGCAGTCCAGAATATAACGAAAAGAAAAATCTAAACTACAAACTAAATAACCCGGGTGTTTGATCAAAGCATGAAATCAAATATTAAAGGGAAAAAGAAAGGAAGAAATGGGCGCAATCCATACTCTAAATGCGTTCAAGTGCACAATATCAAATACAACAAGGGAGCAAAGAGAGAACAAAGCCTCGGAATTACAAATTGTAGGAGAGGAAGACGGGGGACAGGGCAAGAGGTCCCTTACGCCTCCATTTCCTGAATCTGGTGCTGGGTGTGTCGGTGGTATCGCTTCTTCTTGGGGCGCTGGTTGGGGTCCAGGTCGTCGCCGGAGGCGCCATCGGCATTCTCACTCCCCGACTTGCTCAGGAACTCATCTTCCCGGATCCTCGCCATGTCGCTCTCGGCGGTGGTGGCGGTGAGGTCCATCTGCTGCTGGAAGTGTTGTGTGGCGTCTAGTAAGCTCGGCTGCATGACGAAGAAAGCTTCTTTTTGCAGTTACTCTCTTAGATTTATCATATATAATATAATATATTCTAGGATTCCGAGCAAAACACAGGAGATCCAAAAGGAAGAGCTCTTATGCGACGACGGAGAGCATATGATTTTCCATCAAGACGTCATTTTTTTAATGGGTAGCGAATGTCTTTGACAGACGGGGCGATAAGCTGCAGGAAAGTGGTGAGGAGCCCAGTTCATGATCGTAAATTTGCCATCTCTCTCTCTCTCTCTCTAAGGGGACTAATGACATACAAGAATCGCATTGACTAGCACATAAGGTGGTCATGGATGAAGATGAAGGGATAAGGAAGAATCGGATCCGGCCGGGAACGGGGGAGCCTGGAGATGGTGAAGAAGAGGAAGGAAGAAAACCGACGGCTGGAGCTTCTCATCGCCACCCATTTTACCCTCTCAGATGAAAGGAAACGAGGGGAATGGGGACGAGGAGAAAGATCTTCCACGAGTAGGAGAGAGAACATAAGACTCTCTTCCATCTTTCCCCCTCCTTTTTCCCCGAGGCATTCCTTTTCCACCCCCGCTCTTCCTCTGTATTAACTCTTCTTTCACCTACCTGTTGACGGGGTCGTCTTCCTTGCCAGAGCTCCAAAAATGGCAAGATCATAGCACCTCACGGATACTCACACGAGAATATACACGATCTATTCGAGAGAAAATGTGAGAGAGGAAGAAGGTGTGTATAGAGAGAGAGAGGAAGTCATCAGCGCTCACCTGGCCGAGGCTGAGGCCTGAAGTCGAGCCGTATCCCATCAACGGCGGCGCTTGTCTTGCCGGAACCATGATCCCGGCGGGCATATTTGTCTCCCGAAACCCTAATTATAACAATATACTCTTCCTTGTGATCCTTTGCTCAATGGGCAGCGAGTAATTTTCTCTGGGCCCCCGTCTCTGCAGGAATAGGAGTGGAGACACTTAAAATGGCCTCTGGTTGCACCAAGGGAACCGAACGTAGTTTAGGTTCACATATCTCTCCCTTTCTCCTCTCTTCTTTCCTCTTCGTTCTCGCTATCCCGTCCTTCTCTTTCTATCTCTGTATACACATGTGGAAAAAAATCGAAGAGAAGAAGATATTAGGTCTTCTAGCAGAGCCAAGCCATCTTGAAATGAGGTTCTCGGTAACCCTTACCTTCAGACTAGAGAGAAGGTAACGAGAGAAGGATCAGCTGAGTCGAGAGATTGAGAACCCGGTCTGTGAGGATTGTGGGAGCTCGATAGATCTGGCCTTTGGTTCCCTTCAACACGAGATAAGTCCTTCTTCCTCAGCTTGCAGGTGCCTGTTGAGTTCCTCTACTTGGGCAGGTTTCATGGGTGGAGACTGTCGACCCTTCAGGAAGCCGTCACGGAGAAGAGAATTGCAGAGAGACCGTGAAGAAGTAGAAGCAGCAAGGAAGCTGAAAGAGGTGGAAACACCCCCCACCGTGAAGGAGGTGCGGAGAAAGAGGAACAGGTTGAGAAGATGTGGCAGGAGGAGTTATTGCGGAGCGTATAGAGATGGTGCAATTGCATTTATTGTCATGGTGGTGTTATTACGATAGAGATAGAGAGAGAGAGAGAGAGAGATCTCGAAAGTTCAATTTCTCCCCCCCCCCCCCCCCCCCCCCATCAGTGTAAAAAGAATGACGGCTATCAAACTGAAATCTCTCTACAGCTGGTTAGCATTCGTTTAGCGTCGCAGGTAGCTTTCAGAGAATTACACTCAAGTTATCGTCGACGAAACCTGGAAACACCACGTGTTTTGCCGCACAAACCAATGTATTTCCTCAGATAACGTATGCTAGAGCCCCTATTTCGGTCAAACACACAAAAAGGGAAGAGAGAGAGGGAGGGAGGGAAGGAGAGAGAGAGAGAGAGAGGAACAGGATTACGAATAACATTATTGAGTAATTTGTGCAGGAGATCGTGTGGACTCGATAGAGTCGACCCCATCCGCATCCTAAGACGTCTTCCTCCGAGATGATATTATAATAATGTCGCTGGGAGAGACGTAGTTCAGCTCAGAGACCCGGCCGCCCCTCCACCGGCCAGCATTAATGGCTTTCGCCGCAGCGGCTTGTCATGAGGATGTAGTCCTCGATGTGGGAAGATGAAGGGTTATCCTTCGAAGAGAAAGACGAAGGGACGTAAGGGCTGAAGCCTCAGAGAGCGACTACCCTAATCCCCTTCGACCTTTTTGATTGAGAAGATATTTTATTCATTACTTCGGCTTAAGTTAAGTTGCAGCCGGCTGTTTCTTTTCTCTTGGCATGGATTCGACGGTGGTAGAGAGAGAAACGGAGGTATGGTATAAGGATAATTACCCAGAGGAATTAGATAGAGCTAGAGAGAGAAAGAGAGTGAGAGACTACAAGAATTGTGAGTTATCATAGATTGATAGATAGATGAACAAACAATTGGTGGATGATACGAAGTTCTCTCTCCAGGCAAGATTTTAACATGCTATTTCGAATATCTTCCCCTCCATAATGTGTCAGGATTTTGATGTGGAAGGGAGGGCTTCTTCCTTCACTTATCTGAAGTATTAGATAGTTATAAGGAGAGAGATCGACAGGGATGAACATAAAAATGATACTTTCCTATTCCTCTCTTACCCTCTCTCTCCCCCCCTGGTAGAGTTACAACATTTTCCACTACATTTCCGAAGGCGCTAGGGTTTCTCGTGGAAGGCGGGGTTGTGCTTGGAGATCTTGCAGGAACCCAGCCCCCCACATTAAATGGGACTGCGCTTCACGCAGGGGACCTGCATGGCTCCTCATTACTACGTTCATGCCTCTCCCCTGCCCACCACCCCCCGCCCGCCCCCCGACGTCGCTCCTACTACCTCTCCGCACCCCACCTCCGCGCCCGGCGCCGCCCTCAGCCATGGCGCTGCAGCGTCTTCCCGACATGCCCCCACCTTCCGGGAATGCCCCTCCTCGGGCTCTCACGTGCACCCGCCCCCGAGCCCCTGCGCCGCTATTAATGGGAGATTCCGCCGCCCAGGGCCCACGCGGCTTCGGTCTCTGTTCACCTTGTGAGGGGCAGTTTAGGAAAGGACGGCTCTCCAAAGGGGCATTCTCAACGTTGACTACTCTGGTTCAAGGGAGGAAAAGCCCGGCGCCTTCTCTATTACCAACCTTTGGTTATCTTGAATATAACTGAGCGCATTCCCCGCGTGCTCCAATTCACAACTAAAATGATCTGAATACAACAAGCACGGAGGTATCGATTAAAGGAGAAAATGTATATTATTTTTTTTTCTGGATTTATCCTGCCACGCAAAAGTTTAATCTTTCAATTAATGCCTCACAGTTATGTTCCTCCCTCGTCCCAAGAGAGGGTATTGCCCAGTAGTTCTCCAATGATTAATACACAATATTTTATAACGTAGTGTTAAATGTCACGCAAAACGCCCCTTGCGGGGAGACGAGACACATAGACCCCTCGATGACCTCATCGGGTTAGGTGTGGCGGCGTTAAGGTGGGTTGGGAGGAGACGGGTGGGGTTGGGGCTGGGAAGAAGACAAACGAGGCTGTCCCTGTTCATGACATCTATGGACAACTGTAATGAGGAGGCCTCCCGAAGGGTAATTCTAATAATAATATATAGGACGACTATAAATACTAGAAAAAGGAGGATATTCTACGATGTTATAGAGAAACCCAAGGAAGAAAAATTATTTTTAGGGCTGGAGGTGAGCCAGTGGATTCTTGCCTTGTTCTCTCCCTCTCTCTCTGGTCAATGGGTCCTTTTCTTCTCCTACCATTACAGAATTCCGAAGGCAAAACTTTCTACAAATTATACAGAAACCCAAATCAGTACAACTGCTTTCAGAAAAGTGAAAATGGTTATAAATTTGTTGGAGTAATATTTCCCTTTTCTTCGTCTCTTCTCAGTTGATTATTGAAAAAGGTGAGGGCTTATTCTTTTCACTTATAACTAGCTAGGATTCCATCATGAAGGGGGAAAATATGAAGCTGAAAAGCTAAAATCTACTATTGAAAACGACATCATCATTTTGTACTATTCTCAATAACTTTTTGAGACATCAGCGAGCGTGATTGAGTTTATGCTTTACACCTTTGGGTTCTCCCTTTGGAAGAGGAGTGTGTGATTACATGACTCTATAGAGTAGTCGATGTAAAATTATGTCTTGGATGAATGCTTAAGTAGAGCCAAGGAAATCTGAGTTTATACACATGATTTCTAACTTTGTTTATATTTACCTTAAAGAATATTAAAAAAGATCCTTATCACTATATAAATTAAATCTCAACCAGATTCCTAGTATTAAGTTTTTGTGAATTATGAGGTAGTTTTCTGGATGTAAATGACGTCATCTCACATCAATTCCAACCTAATTCTCTAAATTTGTAAGTATCAACTAGTTCATAGAAACAAAATCTCTCTTTATACATGATATTTTGCATTCTCTCTCTTAAGTTGAATGCACAAATGATGTAATATATCTATTATATTGTGACATTGACTATCTTTCTAATGTCATTTACGACTATGAATACTACACTGTCTCGGAGAAAGATACCTACAATAATAATGGGAAACTACTCATCCCTTTTACCATAATTTGGGATCTCCCACAATCTCCTCTCTCAGTCGTTATTAATGGGTGCTTCTTCAATTCTGAGAACGAGTGAATCCTTCATGTCATGGGAAGGCTAGTTATCTCCTTGTAGGAAAATGTGAGATGGATTTGATTATGCATATTCGATGTGTGACCACCGGTTTCAAGCAGTCTTCAAGTCAGTAATGTTTTAAATCAATAAATGTTGGTATCACCACCGAGGCCATTAATTGGCATATTGAATAGAAGTCGGGATTTACATTGTTTGAGCATGTAATGTTTATGATATTTATTATAACCCTAGTGGGAGAAACCTCCGGTGCTTACAAATGCTTTGAATCAATATGGTTTTGTCAATAAATGATGATAATATTGATTTAATACATTGGGCATTTATTGTTATCTTTAATGTTAAATTTTCGATAGATTTCTAATGCCCTGGATAAATAGAGGCTCTCAACCTCAAATCGACCCCATTGAGGTGCCTCTGATGTTAACAGGTTCTTCTTAAGAATATATCCCAACTAAAGCCCTTCTCTGATTTTTTATGTTGACTTTGTTGACTTTCCCACCGACCCAAACAATTTGCTTTGACTCACATAATCGTTACTTTATATAAGGCTTAGGTAATCACGCTGATTGTGTTAGAGTTTATAAACTAAGTCAAAAATAAGATTCCACAATAAAATACCATTCCTTATTCAACATCACAGAACACTCAATATGGAGAGTGATTGGCATAGAGACAACTTATGATTGCTCATGATAATTTATCAACAATAGTCAAGCCTATTCATCGTCTTAAAGGGATGGTCCAGGTCCTAGTGCAATATTCTGATTAACATTTGATCATTTTGATTACATTACACGAAGAAATCTAGAAATATTTATCATGAAAAAAATCCCAGATATTTGTATGTTCTCAATGTTTATTCTGTCTCCTAACCAATCATTCAAGACAAAAAAGGCTAAATTCCGCCTCGCACTGAATGGGATGGTCAGAGCATCAGCAGCGCAGAGGGACGGCCAGAACAGCCTGTGGGCATTAGATGAACGTTTAAATAAAAATAATTAATGGGCCCACCAGGGGTCTCCGGCCCGTACAACCCAACCACCCCCTTCCCCCCCTATGTGTCCATATCTTAATACAAGTGAAACCCAGAGGAAATAGGGTTTCTTTTTGCGCATATACCCATCATGCCTATTTATGTGCAATGCTTTAGAAATGAAGCT